GTTAGAAAAGGTCTTAATGGGAATCTTCACATAAATCACTCGATCTGCCCAACTAATGGTCCTTCCACCCATCGTCTATATGCCAATTTATAGAAGAATCTATCGTATTCCCCCAATTTAACATCATCGATTATTTATAATATCAATTGCATTCGTCACTCGCATTCCAAATGCAAACAATAATTAATCCACAAAACAATTATTTGTGTTGTAGGATCTGTTTTAACGGAACTTCATTACGTTTCACTTGGAAATCCTCTATTTAGTTTTAAAATAAATTAATCAAAGCAAATTAGAATAATTGGTTTTAATTAGTTGAGGATTATGGTGAACCCGAAAGGTTTATCCTTTAGAACAAGGCAATCTGCATACCCAATTTGCTAAATCCTAAAGATTACTTCGTATTTATTACAGAACCCATTCGAATACACCATAACAATAAATGAAAAACTGGACGTCCATAAAAATCATATATATTTATTGAAAATGTAATCAGACTTATTTCAGTGAGCGCCTAACAATAGAACAACATTTATAGTAAAGAACATCAAACTTTATCACCGAAGCTATAATTCCAACGGGAGATATTTTAAGATTTGGAAAGTATACATACACACACTTTCGTTGGTGGTGATGTGCAAGTTAATCTTTTCGATCTGCGCCAAAACACATTTCGCGTTTTATTTGCAACATGGAGCTAACGAAATGTCTATATCTGTGTGTACTAAATCAGTAATCTCCGAAATAATCACTTGCATTTAAACCGTGAAATTTAATGGATTACGTTAAGTGCGAATGTTAAATTAAATTTTGTTTAGTTTGTTTTCATTACTCTTAGAATATTCTCATAATTATACATAGTATTTCACTAAAATTACATAAATACTATAAATATCATAATCAAAATTTCAATGATATAATATGCTGTAATAAAAGAATAATTCCATATGTATTTGTAAGAGAAGAGATGCCGTTTCGGCCTGATGCTATATACTTTGGTCATTCTGCCAGTGAAAGCTTTAAGCGAATATACACTTGAAAAATACATTAACGTTGAACAATTGACCTACATATGTCAGTTTACACAATTTGAAAGGTAAACTAATATTTGTTTATACTATCCTCTTCGGCGAATTTACCAATAAATCAATGAAGCGTGAGATTTGACCATCTGTAAACCGAATGCTGTTTAAATCTTGGAACGTAATTATTCTATTAACTTTAATAATGTATTATTTAATTTGTAAATTGTTCTATTTTTCTAGAATGAATTATACAACTTAACTTAACATTAAATTAAATACATTTTTAAGCAATGAAGAAAGCAACAAATATTTTATGTGTGATTTGCATTAATGGAAGAAGACTAAATTTTTAATAATTTTTTTTAGTAGGAAAGTTGTACGTCTTTTACGTTAATGAGGTTTGCAAATGTCCAAAACATTGATAGTTTTTGGAAAGAAGTCTAAACGCAAAATATGACCAGAAGATGAAAATTACAGCCAAGAGTTAGAAATGAATCAATCAGTTTCGAAATTGTACATGTCGGAAATTTATTTAATGTAGAAGGTGTTGATTATTCAGTCGAAGCCTTACGTTGTTAATAACGAAGACAAATGTTATGTATTTAATGAATCAATTTTTGTCGATAATTATAAAATGATGCAAAGATTATTTTTTTAAATAATTATTATTGATGCAAACAATATTTTGTAGCACGTTTAAGAGAAATTTTGACTCTTTAAATTTCGATTCAACTTAACATCTGTTTTTTTATAGATTTGTATATACTATTTAAAAATGTTTGTATTATAGATTTACTGATTTAAATTTTAACTATTTAATTTCCAATTAGAATCATCAGTTGAAATATATCAATTTTAAAGTTATTAGATTTGAATATTAGCTGTTTATTATGCAATTCGTATTAGCAATAATGGTTTTTAATTCATTTTTATAAAAATATTATATAAAACTCTTACTATTGCTAGTTATAAATGTTTGTCAGTTAATCTTTCAACGCTTGACTCCGCATAATCTCTATGTTATTAACACGAATATGTAAATATTAAATGTGCTGAATAATGGGGAGGAGGCAATTAGTCGCTTGCATTGAAATCCTGAAAATGGTGGTTTTCACATTGCATACGCAGATTGCCATTAATCATTAGTACAATGGCTCTATTCAGGTGCGATTCATTTTCCGTCATCCCATGATCAATGGAGATATTCTGTAAATCGGCGTTAATGGTACGCCTTTTCACATACATGTAATAATCACATATTTTAAATTAATTACAAAAATATACAATTATTTAATATTTAGTCTGTTTTAAAGATAAGTATGCTTTATTTAATTTATTTTCTATACAATTAATAAATAATTAACAAATTTTAAACTACAAATTATACAATTATTTTAAATTCTATTATTTCTTGAATATAATTGTTATTTAACATATTTAACATATTAACCATATTTAACAGTTTTTTTGCTTTTCATTTGCAAATGGATTTATTTTGTGGACAACACTGTGGCATTTTTATGACCACATTTTGAATAGCAGCAAAAATAGAAATGCAGAACCAATTTTCAACTGAATTTTTATGGAGATTTATCAACTGGAAAAGCAATAAATGTTTATGAAAAACAACATTTTTGATTTAGTTGAAAGTCGTGTAGTATTTATGATTGTAATAATCATTACATAAATATATATTTAATATAAAAACTCATTTTCTTTATTCCCAAAATAATTTAAGAAACAAGTACAAAAAAGATACACATTGAAATAATTCTCTAATATGTTTTTTTTTATAATTTATTTATAATTCCTTTTAATCTTGCTGAAATAAAATAATTTCAGTCTGAAGAGATTTAATCGGTTTTCATGAAAGGAAGGTGTCTACATCAATAAAGTTCTGAAATACATTTCTTTACTGAAAGATATTTTTAAATTATTAAATCTTGAAAGGAATATTTGATTTATTTAATATAACTATAAAAAAAAAATGGCATCTGGAGGCCATAAATATCCTTATAGTCGATGCCCTAAATACCAAAGTCTATATAAAATATATAAGTTAAAAGATAACATTCGTAATGAATATTATGTATAAAAAAATAAAAGTGCGATAATTATTTTTTTATGATAATAATAAACTTTTAACCGCAGTGATGTAAAATATTACATTTTTTACGATTTATTTAGTGAACTTTTCTTTTTTAGGTTACTCATTTATTTTATAAAATCCAATATATGGATATATTTTGTATTTACGATAATTTAATGATGATGATTTCACCACAAAATGCATCATCATCTCGTTTCTTATACTTGTTTCTTTACGATAAAAATGTATATATATATTGACTTGTCTACTCTGGTCCCAATTAAATGAACTTTACTCTCTTTTTCAAGTTAACCCGAAGACCACTTTACATCTATCTGGTTTTACGTGCTTCCTTGAAGAAATAAAATACACTTAACAGTTTGGTGGAATTGAAAATGAAAAACGTGTATTTCTCTTTTCGGAATACTAAAACTGAATGACTCAAAGAAAAAAAAAATAGAAAACATCGACCAACACACTTAACTATAGAAGTGTTCCATATATCAAAGAGCAGCGAGCTTTCAATGCGCGAAATCTGTGCACGACTATCCCTCAAAATTGTTATCGACTGTGACGGAAAACTGATCCATCTTCCCTCTTTGCACACAACCCTCCCTTTCAAATCCCTTTGCGATTTCCATAGCCTTGGCTAATGCTTCTTAGATTGAATACTGTTTGTATGTCAACTGTTCTATAATCGGTTTACTGTTTTCCTAAGATTACTACTACAGCATACAATAATATTTATGACTGCGTAAAACATCGCCGGTTTATAGTAGCTACATAATTTTATGCTGTAATTATTTTGAAGATAACTGGAACGTAAAAGTGACTAGGATATGGAGTGAATCATAGGCATAAAATAGATTAATTCCATTTACAAATTGAAAACAATTTGTATCAAAAAAATTTAAATAACATTTATTTAATAATAATATTTATTGAAACATTTATAAATACATCAATAAAAATTGAATATTTTATTTATATATAAAAGAATTATTAGAATTTATTTCGTTTTGTAATTATTTGTAAAATTAATTCTTTGTTTTAAGCTACTGGTAGCTTTAGCAATTCGATGTATGATTAAAAATGTTAATTCTCAACTAATTATTGAAATAATGATAATGAACAATATCACCTGCACTGCTAGTATTTCATAAACGGTAGATACAAATGTAGTAAGTGTTTGATAATATTTTTTACTAGTTTTAGGGAAAAATAATAATAATATTAAGGTTGAACATCGAGTACGTTCATGCGAACGTTAATATACGTTCGCTTTATTGTAGATTCGCTTAGCGTACAACAATATATGTATGCATTATGTACGTTAACCGAGGGCTGACTGTATATGTATATCTATATAATTTGCATGTAATGAGTTCCTTTGATGGGTGCTGTTACTTTCTCTGCGAGGCCGGACCGGTGCGCAATATAAATTCAGTTACATTTGGCGTACAGGATTCGGAGGATCGATTGATAGACCGTGCGGTTTTCGAAGTTCCACTTCAAACGCCGCAATATCCTTCCGTATTCCATCCTGGATGGATTTCGGTGGCAACCCCATGGATTTTCCATGCACGTAGCCTCCTACGTTTTAATTACGTGACGTAATTCATCCGTGCGTCCGTCCGCCGTTGCATCTACTACCCACGCACCGTACTTTTCAGCCCTTGTTAATTGTATCCTTTGGTGGATGAATGCGGGGGTAGTTTTATGCTATATCCGGCAATGCGTTGGGGTTTGGATCCATCGAGTTGTGGGGGCGTCGCAGGCGCTCGGTGAATCAGCGTCGACGACGCCGACCGGCGTCGGCAACAAACTTGCCGCTTGGCGCCACGTGAGATCCGACGCAGTCCTCCTCTTCGGCTGGAAAACATACATGCATTCATAACAACAGTAGCGCGCTTCGTGTGCTTACAACACGTACGAACTTTTAAACCGCGTCTCCTCAAGTTCCTCTCTTGTTTCTAGTTTTCATAGTGTTCAGTCGGTGTTTCATAAAATTTGGATTAAATTAGACTGATTCAAACATGGGTATATACTTTAATTATTTAATTAAACCATAAATATTGTATAATACTTATTGAATACATCAAAATTATTGCATGTAATTGAAACTCTAAACACTACAATACATAATTAACATCAAACGTAGTTTCATATTATAGCCTGATTAACATTAATTTATTACATAAATTTAAATTATTTAACAAATCATAAAAATTGCAAATAACACTAATTAACGAAAATAGAGTTATTCATAATCGTTAATTTTGCACTTATATAAAATATAAATAAATAGTAAATCAAACATTTGTCAAACAGTGCTTATTCATAAATATTATAGCCAATCTTCCTATAAAGCTATTAATTGGTATCACATAATTTGATATAAGAAACACAGAAATCCTAATTTTTTATCTAAATCAATCCTCTTTTCACAACATTCAAATTGAAACTATCTTTATCCATATTTTCATCTAGCAGTGCATTTTAAGTAGATTTATTAATTAATGTCATCAATTCCTCTCCATCTCTTCGCACAATCGTCTGAAGCTAATTACGCCATGTTATCTAGAAACAACAATGTTAACAATGTTATAAGAAAGCTGTCGCAATGTTTCTTCCGCGTTAACGGAGGTATTGCTGTATATAGGTTACAATAATGAAATAAAGCTTTTACAACTAAAACTTAAAACGAAAATTCAAAACTAAATACTTGTCTTTAAAATCAGTTATTAATAATGATATGGTTACATTTATAATTGAAGTTCATACTAGTTTTTTTTATATATTAATATTATATAATTTTAATACAAATTGTCTAATACATTTGGGGTAAAATTGTTTGTATAAAAATGATATATTAAATAATTTAATTATGTATGTAGATTATTAAATGTTACAATTAAATAATTAAAATAAATATATTGAGAATGTCACACAACAGTTAAATGTGTGTTTAGGGACTGTGCGAACAAAGGCAAAGTAGGGAGAGAACGTGTATGATGAAGTTTAGGGAAAATGTAGGGAAAATGCAATAAAGGTTACATAAATCATGTTTAGTTTGCAATTTATGATAACAGATTTTAAATGGAGTATATTCAACTAAATTTCATAACGCATCGTACACTAATGAATTCGGATAGCATCTAATTATTAGAGTATCGTACGTCGGCATTGCGTAAGCAGCTTTCGCTTAACTTTCTACAAAATAGCGAATGTCGCCTTCTATCTATACATGTTAATTATTAATTTATACACAATTCTCTTCTGCACATTACCTGCACAAACTCGCCATGTTCAACTGAACGCGATTATATAAGTTCGTGGAATTCCCTGATAATCTTACTATTTCCTACTGTCAGCTCGAGGATGTTTCGTATCGTTGAACTGGTAAAACCAAAACACACTTTAAAGCATCTTCCGTTTAATCTTCTTACATTCAATCCAATAATCCTTGCTGATGGATCAAAAGACTAAAACCGTGTTGTACATATAATTGGATTTTTGGTTCAGGTGCAACAAACTTTATTCTGTGGGGAAAAGCAGCACGTTTTCAGTATGTTATTTTTTTTTTTTGAAGGGGACCGGCTTTATTTAAATATTGATAAACCACCCTTCCGATTTTAACACGCGATATATTGAACATACGCACAATAACTGATAAAAAAAAACGCGTAATCTGATAAATATCGGAGCTGTATTTGCGTGCACCAAATTATTAACCACAAAACTAAATCTGTTCGAAGCGAATTTATGATGCTACATCCCATTGAACAACCGTTACTGAAATATTCAATTTACCTACGCAATAATCCAATTTTTTATATGTAAAATACGCTATTTGCAAAATGTTATATAATAATGATTAATAAAATAATAAATCAATATTATTTCGCTATTATTAACATTTAGCTAAATGTTAACTTCGAGCTCCAATAAATCAATTGATTAACTTCTATAGGTCAAGAAAATGTAATTGTATCCTTGCCATAACAATTATTATACCACATTTTATTATATATGAAATAAAATATATTTGAAAATAAAAACTACAATAATTGATATTATATTTTTTTTTAATAATTGTTAATTTCGAGCTCCAATAAATTATATACAGCCGGACTAATCGATAACTTTAAAACCGCACAAAAGAGATTTATTATAATAAAAGTAAAAATTAATCATTTATATAAGTTTGTATACTAATTTCATGTTTATTTTGCTCAATTAAAATTTAGTTTGTTTTGTTATTTTCACATTGGACTATAGTGAATCCGGACTAACCGAAGCTGTACTATGTGAGATATAATAATATAGAAAGGCTGCAAAATATTGCAACACTGGTTTAATCCAATAAATTGTGAAAATTCAAGGATTTTAATCTCGCATACTAAATCTATTAAATCTAAAACAACACTAAAAACTCACGAATCACAAATCATGTTTCAATGAATTGCATCATTTCTCCAACAAGAATAAAACAATATGATTGTTCTTAACGTCCTTGTACGAGTTAAGAATATTTAAACGTTTATATATTGTGACATTTATTATTGGATTGGTACCAAAAACAATAAATCCAATAGTTACAGTTTGAGAAAAAAGAAGCAAAGTTTGAAACTAATAGACGTACGTGGAAGTAAACTACGGATTAAAAAGCTATCAACTATTTACGTGTCGTGTAAGATTTGCTCTTTTTTTCACTCAGTTTGATCTTATTTCACCTGACTTTTGTTAAACTGCAATCACCGAAGTTTTCCGAACTTTTACAAATGAATGCCCACTTGTTCTGTAACTATGTAACCTACCTGCGGCGTCTCGCGGAAAACTCTTATTTTTATTTGAATCCATATCCAACCATAAAATTACCAACTCCATCAATTCCGTCAAACTATTCCTATTTATTACGCGAAACTTTCCTTGAACCGCACAATATCCTGCTTGAAAGTAATACCTTTGATCTCCATTCTAGAGAGTCAATATCTGACAAACTTATCTACTTGTCTTAATTTATAATGTAACTGTTACGTATATAAATGTTGACAATCTGACAAAAAATGTTAATATGTTGGCTTTTATGCAATAGATTTCAGAAACATTATGTGGGTAATGGGAATTATGATTAAAACCATCAAAAAGTTACTAAATTTTTAGTTATTCGAGTAATTTTATTGTGTTTATTAATTATTTTTTTAAATTTCAAAATTAACAAATCCCTACTTTGTGACACTATATCCTTCTTGTTATTTAGCTTTATGAAGAAGTATATTGAGTTATAATATTGTCAATTAAAATATATTAATTATATTCATATATGCAGAAATTTAAACTTTAAAATTGGCATATGCATATGCCAATTTTAAACCGGATTCAAATCTAATAGTTTTATAATTGCATCTGTCGTTATGTAAATTCTGCGGTAGTCTGTTAGGAATGGATGTTTCGTATGCAAAAGCCGATTTGGCGTGCTCCATATTTCCTCGTTGCTTCGCGCACAGTTTTTCGGTGTAATTCAAGAATACTCGTGTTCTCATTTTGTTTTGATTCGCTGCTTCCGAATGCAAATTCCAAACACGTAAAAGCACGGAATGATAAACAACTAATGTAGTGCAAGGATGAACAAGTCGGCCGCGCGATTATAAGAAAGGACGAATAGGTCCTTCACCCATGATATAATACCAAGATGACAGACACGTGCTCATTATTGCTTCTCTTCCAAATTAAAAAAAGGACATGTAATACATAATTAATGAAATTTTTGGTGTTATGATTGTGAGGATTTCATATTTAGGATCAATTTATTTCAAACACGTTCAACAACTTCCGCTAATTCCGATTTTTCTCCTAAGATCTAAACAACTAATTACAATACATTTTAGGTTTGATACTCTAAACATAAGTATTTAGCATTATCATTTACATACAAATATTGCCATTGAATATAATATTATAATTGAGCAAATCGTGTTGTTTGTCATTGATGTTTCACGTGTTTAACGTGTATTCTACCTTTTTTTGTACAATAATTAACCTTTACTCGTGATTATTTTTCTATGCTTGTTATTATTCGACCTTGAAATGAAAAAACTTACAGTCTAGCGTTAAAAAATGAATAAATGAAAACTAAGTGGACATTGTCGTCGTATGTTTCGCGGTTTACTCTGGGCAGTCTTCGATAAAATGTAAACGGAGTAACGTTGCTTCGCGGTTTCGTGCCAATTTTTGTTATTGTTTGTTTGGTGATCAGTTTGCGAAATGGATACGTCGAAACTCCAAATAACGTCTCCTGCGTACACAAATCAAACTCAAGGTAAAATTTTAATAATTTTAATGATTACAACTGATATTGACTAAAGTTTCAATTTCATTTTGAAGAAAAATTTAAAAATATTAGTTTGAAGAATTACATTTTAAATGAAAATAAGTAGTGTTTTTCCAGTCAAATAATAAAATTTCAAAATATAAGACATTTTAACGATTGGTGACTTTTAATTATAAAAAAGTAAACATTTACTTTAATTTGTTTTAGTATCAAATCACTTTCTCCTTGAAGATTCTAAATTTATCAAACTATTTTATAGATAGTTATAATACATATGTAAATTCTACTTACAAATTTGTTCAAATAATTACCTTTCGACATAGATAAAACAAAAAACACTTATATAAGTACAAGAAAATGCTCACACAAGTAGGATATTTACATTTTGGAATCAATGGAACATGGAAAATACGATGAAATGTGCACACATACAATTAAAAAGCTTAATTTAATGAAAATAAGCAATTTTAAATTACATTTTAGTAATAAATCAAACTAAGTCATCAAAAAATGGATTCTTGAATGGATAATTGAATGATTATAGTTAAAATTCTAATAACATTTTATTAAAAAAGAAACTTTCTCTCTCATTTCTAAAATATTTTTCTTTGCTAGCTGATGATACAAAAATATCTAGTATAATTTAACAAGTTTAGTGCATCTATTAAATAAATATATTTAAATCACAAATATGAATTTTTCTAATACATGACGCCATATGACATGAAAGGTATTCATTCGCATATTTTAATTAATAACGTCTACAGTTATAAAACCTGTTATATTTATAATTACTCCTACACCTGTCTCCAACTTTAATTATCATTACAATATTTATTCATATTTCTATATAAGTTTTTATTTCGTTTAACATTTATAACTATATTTTGTTTGAACGTTTTGTGTGCAATTTTTCTTAATATGATCTTTTTTTTTAGTTCAAAAAACTTATTCATTGTATTTCAGTCGACTTTCGCATTCAAACACGACTAATTGTACATTACTCTCGTGTCACTTGGTCCAGCAAAGTGGACAATGTGAAAGCATACAAAACAATGGATGCAAATTAAACTTTATTTACCAACTAATTGCAACTATTCGCATTATTTCATAAACCCGAGGAAGACTGTTATAAACGTAAATTAAACCTACAACCACGACCGGATTTTACCAATTTAGCATACAAAATAAAAACAAAGCACTTCTGCGAATATTTACATATTAACTGTGTATATATTTCGTTTACTTCGATTACCTTACTTTGTTTTACTTGGAAATATCGCGTATTCCACGTGGCGAGTTTCCACCGCAATTGACTTTGTTTATTTTTTTTACGAACGCTGCGAGATAACTACTTTATGACGTCCATTTTACGGCTTTCTTAAATGACCTTTTCAAGTATTCATGCCGTGCATTCTTTAATAATATAGCGCATGAAATTTCGTAGCAAATAACTTTTTCAATTACCTTTTTATTATTTAATTTACATCCACACATAATCATCTTTATGCATGTTATTTGTTTTTCTTTAAACAAGTATAAAATATTCAATTTCATTTAAAAATATATTATTTTAATGTTTAGTATAAAAATGTTGTTAAACAATTTAATTTCCTAGAATTTAATTAATTGCAATGTGATTACATTTTTTACTCTTTTTTAGTTTTCAAATAAAATAACTGTTTTAATTAAAATCTGAATACAATTTAATATGGAGGAGATTAGTCAACTTTCCAAGAAAATAATGTATGACAATTTTCAATGCGAATACACTTAGTCTGAAAATACTTTGTTTTAATTTTAATTACGTTTTTATTAATACTCAGTAAACGGATGTTGGGTTACGATGTACACAATTTAATCTAGTATAGATTAGTCAGATTTCCGAGAAACAAATTAAGTTTGGCGGAAGCGAACTCAAATTGTTGAATCGAAAAAACTAAATTCATTGTTCAAGACTTTATGTATTTGTAACAGTAGTTTCTATATTTACATAACAAATAAGTCTATACAGTGGAACCTTGCTTAACGAGTTGAATCCGTTCCAAAATTTCCAGATTTTTACTCTTCTCATCGTCACTCGTTATGCGAAACGTCGCTCGTTAATCCAGTCTTTTGTCTTAGAATTCATTTTTCTCGTTAAACGAAATACTCATTATGCAAGGTGTTCGTATGTCTGTGGTGCAAGAAGAGCACGAACAGAAGATTTTACATGACTTTACTCTAATTACCCGCACTTATCATTAAGAAAACCTTCAAAGTGGCTATCATAGAAACGCACCTTCTTCCGCGTTAATTAGAAGAAGGAAACAAAGAATTACTCATCGCTTCAATGAGTGAGTAACATTACGTAACGACAGTTTGCTATATGAATAAAACAAAACAATTGAGATTGATTCTATTTGCGTCGCGCGGTTCAAATCTAAATGAACGCAATTAAATGGAAGCATCGCACGCTTATTTGTCTGTTCTCTGAACTGTTAATTTGCAGCGTAGCCCGAATTATGAGATTTTAATAGTAATCACTTGCAAATCACGTTAAGTGCGATGGATAAAGCGCACGAATCTAATTAAAACTTGGCTAATGTGTCTTGTGGAGTTAACAACTGCAATCCGAAAGTGGTTTTAGTTAGTAACCGATTCAATTTCCTCTCTCCAATTTATAAGTGCTCTGTAACTTAATTCATATTGGCTCTAACCAATTCAAATAGTTGATGAGAAGAAATGCAAAATTTAAGAAGTTGCATCTTAATTGAAAACAAGCAAATATTAGCAACGAGAAATAAAAGATTTAAAAAGTTTCATTCATAGTAACTGACAAAGAATATAAAAGAAATGCATGTTTTATGAAATCTGAACGTCGACGGTTCTTGTACGACGGCAATCAAACGGAGTTTAATGTAAAAACTATCGATTTTTCAAATAGAAACAAAACGCGATGACGCACAGTATTCCAATATTAATAAGTAAGTGGTATTGTCGATGAGGGGTTTGAAGAGAGGGACACTCCGAGGACCCTCGAAGGGACATTGAACAAGCAACACGGCAATCACAAAACTTAAAGGCGGTTCTGATTTATTCATGGAATATTATTTTCATTTTGTCTGGCCGTTGAGACGTTGGCGTCATTAAAAATTCCATCGCATCGACTTGCTATGATGGTGCAGCAAGAGAACAACATCTACTACTTCTGCAGCAACGTTTTCTTAGATGAGCGGAATGCATTCGCCGACCGGCTCAGATTTTATGGTCCACTTGTAATTTTCCTCGCTTTTGTGGCGGTAATAGATCAAAGAAGTACACAGTTTTGAAATTCCCTCCAGTTCGGTGCGGATGAATGTTTTATTAGAAGTTAGGCGAGAAAACATTTTAATAACTTAAGCACGCGTGCTGCTGCATTGCACTACTTCTTCGGGGAATAATATTGAAAGTACTGAAATCTTCTCAACCTATGTATTATGAAAGCTATCCTTTCGATAACAAATATTTACTTATAAACTTAATCTAACTTATACAACAATAACAACAAACAAATCTATTTTCTTACATTTATTTTCAAAAAAAACGTTATTCCGTATTTTAAATAAATAAAAATACAAAACACTGACGATAAGGTTCAATTAATAGTTATAATTAATCTCATCAACATTTTTAAGTTAAATACAATAATAATGGGCAGTTATCTAATAATTATCGAGTGCATTGTTATTGATACGCTGTGCATCATATAGACAATGAAAGTAATTATGGATTTATTATTTAAGGGATCATTAAACTTGAACAAAAGATATTCAACAGTACCAACTATAATCTAACAATAATTGGAAGCTTTGAACACCCAATACATATACATATATGATGTAAGGCACATATGAATTATTAAAGTAAATGAACAATAAATTAACAACGAAATATTACGTAAATTTGAACGAACTAACGTTAATTAGGAGATCAAAATGTTAAATCATTTATATAGAACTAGATCAGGGGTTCCCAACCTTTTTATACCCTAGGACATATAGAAAGGTTATTCGTGGTATTTCTAAATGTCCATTTAACGGTAATTTTCCGCGAAACCCTTCAGAAATTTTACAAAACTCAGTTGGAAGAACCCTGCCCTAGGGTTTAAAATTTCCTAGAGCACATTTTAAAGTACCGATAGGGCGGACATTATCTATTTTTACAAGCAAAATTTTCAAACTAAATAAATAAAATTCGTGCGCTTTCAACTAAGTAGGTAATTTCCAAAAAATAGTTAAGAAATAGTTTTTTTTTAATTCAACATGTTCAAAGTTTTCAATTGACAAGAAGACATTGATGAAAAATACTATCAAGGCTTTCTCCATAAACAGTAAAGATAAAACCATTATATTTATGTTCAAGTGGTGCAAATATCATATTATAATTAAGTAATATTTATTCAAAAAAAGTACATTTAATATAATAATCAAAACGTAATTATGTTATGTCTTTAAATTCAGGTCTCCGTTAAGAAACATAAAAAAAGTAATTAAAAAGAACTATAAATGTTATAAATCGACAATATTACAGTTACTGCAGTAAAAAAAAGTATTATAAAAAAAATAGGTTTATTATTTTGTGTTATTATACCATCATAAATTTGTAATTTATTTTATTATTATATTTTATTTTAACATTAAAACGTGCCACAGACATAATTAGATACTTCTTTTTATAACTCTAGTAAAATAAGTGTTATAATTAAATATGCAATATCCGCTCCTCGTCGGTCATTTTGTCGCATTTTCTCTCTGCATAAATAATCCCGACTGTTTTAACGTAATTTGATGTTAAAATATACCGTTTGTTGTGATCAAATAAAAAACGAAAGTTGGGGTTTCAATTTCCTGCCGAATTCGACTATATTGCAATGGAAGTGGAGAGAAAACAACGGAAATAAGTCGAATTTAAAATAGCAAATAAATCAGGTCTTAATAATACGAGTGGCGCCGGTTTCCCTAAGATTTAAAGTGCCTCGATTTTTACGGAAGACTCCAATATAAATTCTCGTTCGATAAAATGTAATGAAATCCATTTATTACATACTTATAAATACATCGGAAACACTCTTTTCATTTACTCATTCCTTCTTCCAATTAGCTTTGCCTTAATTGCAATTTTTTTTCCTATATATTTTTTTTTGTGTGTTTCAAGGAAGGGTGAAATCCATATGGGGTACAATCCTAATACTCGGTCATTTCCGATACCGCCGTCTCGTATCTCGCTGGAATTAAAGGATTTGTAATTAAATCATTGGATGACCCACATGCTGTGCTATACTCGAATTTCCACTAATTATCCACTTAATCCAATCAACAGGACAAATATAATTATGATCTGCAATTTCGAGCAAATATTTGTTTTACATATCTCCAAATCATTGTGAGTCGAGTAGAGTTTTTGTTTTCAATTGTTCATGTTCTACCTCGCATCTACTCTAAATAAAATTTACTTTTCTTTTTATATGTAAGAAGAAAGTACTTGCGTAATTCTGTTTTTACCCGCATAAACTTGCAAAGGATAAACTTTACTCGCAGAAAGCGGTTTTCTTATGCTTGGCTTTCATTCAATTAGTGTAAAAGTGAATATGGTTATGGTTTTCTCAAGTAATATGATTTTAGATTTCATTAGTAAATCTTACTTTAAAGTTAATCAAATGATGTTTCGCGCAGTTATTGATTTTTGCGAAGATATTCAATAAAAAATGTATGGTTTTAAGGCGAGGATGTTGAGGAAGGTTGCCAAATGGAAATACGAAAAGCAAATGGATCCACGTGTCTCGTGAGGATTTTATTTAGTACACAGTGAAATAATGAATGTACATAAAGCATGCTTTATTTCGTTTAAAACGGCCCATATTTTATGACTAATCTTTCGAGGAGACAGTTCCGGTATTTTCTCTCCTCCGTCCTAATACCCTTTATTAAATTAAATACGAGCTTTAATTAACTCCTTTATCCAAACAAAATTGTTTGCCATTTGGGATTTATTAGTTAATACTATATTTATTTGATTACGTTTAGTTAAAAGCTTTTTTCCATTAGCTGATGTGTTCTTGTTTGGATTTTTGTTGTAGGTGATGAGGGGTCTTATGGACCTGAGGGGTTGGTGTTACAACAGCAATGGGTTACGTTAACTGCAAGCATGTGGCCTAAACCAACCGCCTCTCCAAGAGGCTGGAGAATTCCGACAGATCGTTTACCGCTCCTTGCTGCCGTTTTTTGCGGAGCCGCACTAGTTGTCTGCTTGATATTTGCTTTCGTTGTCTACCGCTGCTGCATCATGCCTAGGAAAGAAAAACATTACTGTAAGTAGTCTGTACCCAAAAGCAGGAAATTAAACTATAAATTGCGGAACGACAGAAAAGTAAATTGACCAAATTGGCACAAATATGTCGGGGGAAATAGCATCATTTCCGACGTTCGGAATTGTAACGCAATTTGATTATCGCCTTTCGAATTGGCTGACTAAATTTTCTTGTAACAGGTATGCGAAAAGCAGATGGAAGTAATATTCCCAATGCTCACATTTCATCGACGAACGGTCTTCCATCATACCCAAGTCAATCAGCTGTGTATGCAGAACCAAAGGGTCACAATTGGGGCTACACTAATCGCCTCGTTGCTACAAGCTCCAGTGCACAATGGTTTCCGAATCAGCAAATCGTTACATCGCCTCAATGTACCCATTGTCCCGGCATTTGTCCAGTTCCACGTAGCAGCAGCGTTCCAGGTTCTTCTCCACAAGTAAAGCCAATCTCGCAGACCACCTGAAGAAATTCTTTAAAGTCATTCCATTTTAGGTATCCGTTATAAGAAAGCAACGACCAGTCAGTCAACCAATCACTGGATTGGTCTTGGACAATGGTACTCTTTCCAAGCAAATACCAATGCCAGAAATATCCGAATTTTCAGCTCAAAGTACCCAGTACGCTTCAAGCAGTAGTACGTCTACCAAATTTTAATACAATAATTAATTAATTACATGTTAATTAATCTTATTTATAATTAGTTTTAGATGAGGTTAGTGGCAAGGACTCAGAAATATCGCCGTCGACTACATTAAAAACTCGTAGTCTTCCTGCGTGGGTCCGATCTAAGCCTCGACCCCTATCAACAGAAGACGACTTGAACGACCTCTACGCTAAGGTATAATTAATTGATATCTCATAATTGTTGTATTGATTCAAAACCATTTATCTATTCCAGGTTAATTTTAGTAAGAAACGAAAAAATCGAATGCGCAACGATGAAGCCGCTATTATAGCACTCAGTAAATCAAGAAGCCAATTCCTACACAAAGACACCGATTCTTTGGTTGACAATGAAGCTGTTATCGTTTACGACGAACGTACAGCCTTGTAGACATATACACATAAACCATATCACAATTACTGTGAAATAAAATATTGACTATACACAAAACCATATAAACCATAGCATAAGAATAATCAGTAGATTGGATACTAACTAGACAACACAGGCAATATTTAAAAATAATTTCTAAAAAAATATTTTATTTCACTGTAATTTTTCTATTTTGTTTTGAAAAGAAAATGGTATGTTTTTATTTGCTTCGGTTAATATTGAGCAAAAAATTAAAAAAACATATCGGGAATCGAAGACTTGACTTATCAGAGACAAATAATAGGTATTGAGTAACTTTTCTATCTGTTCTAGTAGGCAACTATAATATAATAAGAATATATTTGATCTATTCTGTGATAATTTCTAATTACGATGTTGTTTTTACGTCTTAAAAGACTGGTATTTTATCTAAGATACAATTTTGCGTTAAATTAAGTCGCACCACTAGTTTATTGCTTGCGTTGAGTTATGAATTAAGCGTGTCGATTTATTTTAGAATTTATTTCGAGTGTGATGAAAACGCACAAGTGTCATGCCTTAAAATATTTGCAACAGCAAACTATAGTTTCGTAATTATTTATAATAAAATAAAACATGTATGTAACCATTGTATAACAATTCAAGTAATTAGAAATAATAACGCTCTATGTGTAAACCAATATTTATTTCATATTTTCATCTTGACATATTCGGTAAGTAAAATAGAGTAAATATTATTTATATGTTTTCATTTCGAGGATATAAATAATTTAAATAAAAAGAAATTGGCGAAAACCAGTTAATAAAACTGTATATATATATATAATATATCACAAAACATATTATTAAAAATTAAATTTGCAACTGATTTAATTCATTGATCAATTCCTGTTCGTTCTTAATCTTGGCCAGCTGATTAATTTCCAAACTTTTTCCTTGATCCCTCTCATTTTTCAGTGCTTCAATGGCATCCAATTTCTAAATTTTAAATACAATTCATTAACATAAGCAATATATATAAATATATTGAGACATACCTTCTTAATTTTCTTGATCTGCTTATCTTTCTCCACATCACCAGTTAAAGTAATTTTAACATTACTTATAACTTTCGGAGTTTCTGCAGTTGACTCTCCTGCTTCGTCATTTTTACGTGCCTTTTTAGCTTCTCGCTTCTTCCTAAGCTTAAGCGCAGCCTTGGACACTACAGGTTCCTTTTCTAAAAAAAAAAACGAACATTTAACACTTTAACATGGCAGTGTTATATAGTTAACTTACTGAAAGCTGGGATAGGATCATCGTCATCGTGAAGCTTAAAAGTAACTCCTGGTTTGTTGCGCGCAGACGGTGGTCTATATGCCTGGGTCGAAGCCTTTACTTCAGAGGAAGCTATACCTTGAACTTTCACCGAAGATATAACTGGCTCTTTATATATATTTTTAGAGTATTTCTAGAAAATTAAAGGATTATTTTTTGTCTTTCTTTTTCAGAAATTATTATTTACCTGCCACATGACACTATACAACTCAGTATTGTTTGGTACCCGTTTTTCATAAACCAGTGCTCCCGAATAGTGCCATATTTTATAACCATTTTCTATTCTCAGCCTAGGAGCAGTTGTTGCTGTTAAGAAATGCATCCCATCCGGACTCCACTCGACCAACGTAGTGTCGTTTGCTTCGCAAGTTCCTTTAAAAGATTATTATTATTATAAATCTGTTTAAAAAAAATCTTCCATCAATCATTTACCTATGACTTTCCTTGTATTCATGTCCCACAGATCAATATTGCCACGCAAATTACCAAAGGCCCCTACCATCAAAATATTTCCCTGTGGATTATAATGGATTGTATTCTTGTGACCAGCACCAATTTCAAATGCACTTTCACACTTCAAATTGAACACAGTGACTCTAGCTGGCATCAATCCGTAAACCACGCAAAACTCGAAAGCTTTTGGTGACCATAAGACTGCATATATAGGTCCTTCCTTTGCTATAAAAATGAATAAAAACAAAGTTAATAAATTGTATTGGCTCCACAAAAACCTACTTACATAATGATACCAAGTTAGTTTGTCCATTGACGCCAATAAAATGCAAACTCTGGTTACCATAATAAGATTGACCAGTTTTATCTAGATCAGTCACTGTAAGGACTAATGCATGTTGACCTTTGTAGTGCCAAAAGTACTCAACTTTATCTGCTTGAAAGAAACTTTTGCTTGCTACTGCTTGTTGCATATCAAAATCTGGATATTTGAATAACCTATAAAATAAATATGTTAAATTCATAGTTACAAATCATTAATTCAGAAATTTCAGTTAAAATTTAAAATAATTGAAATTACCTTGCAAAAGATGGTTGTCCAGATGTGCCAAGTGTGTGACTAAGTATATAATAACTTCCGACAGCAGGTGATATACTGTAAGAAGTAACTTTACAACATTTTAATCTATGAACAATCCTTTCAAAGTTACAATCTTCATAGAAAACTACATCATTGTTCACAATTTTTGAAAATAGCTTTTCATCCTCACTCCACTTAGGCTCCCTAAAAAACAAACAGTTAATGGAGTCTTTCAATAAATAATATGTATCAACTTACCAGTTACTTTGAGTTTTATGAACAAAACCTTTAACATGTTCTCCTGTTTCTGTTTTATATATGTTCAAGTTTGGCGAACCTTGTGGATTGGTCTTTGTGATCTCATATGGCTCCCAACTCATTAAGTAATTGCTTTTTGGTGAGAACACCAAAAAGTATGTCTTTCTTCCCTCATGAGTGGCAACGTCAGTCCAAGTATCAGTTCGGACAATTTTTAATCTACAAAATATCAAATATAATACCTTAGAAATAATAATATATTATTATTAGTTATATTACGTCGTTCCAAAAGCATATGCAAAATATTTTCCATCAGGGCTAAACTCAGTGATTCTGCAAGACTTGGTTTCAACAGGAGTAAACTGTTCAACATCTCCATAACTTGGTGGGCCGCTGGTAATGTTCAAACCCAAGGAACCACGAACTTAAATAATACAGAGTTATTTATAGAATACTATCTTTCATAATAAATTATATTTACCAGCAATTGGAATAGACGTCGCCATGTTGAGGTTATGTATATCAGCACGTGTCAAAATATCATTGTCAACTGAAACTTCAACTCCTGAGCTGAGAAGCCAAAGCTCATGAAAAATGAGATGAATGGCCACGTGGTGGCGCAATCATCGAATATTAGTTCAACGGCGCCACTAGTGAATACCACCAAATAATTTAAAATATTTTTCTTACAACAATCCTGACTAGTTTAACTATTCTTAATATACTAATCTTCATTAATAAGCGTGATTCAAATAGTTTTATAATCCAAGATGGGACATCTAATTTTTTCCAAACCTTTGTAGAAAAACAAAGATCACTGCATTTAATTGTTTTAACAACAAACAGTTTAATTTAATTTTCATATTATTTCGATTTAAACTAAAGAAATTCTATAAAACACAAGCTAACTATTGTTTTTATTAATTATAATAAAATTTAAAATTATATAATTTTTTCATCTACCCCAAATGTGGACCATTTGGCGTTCCTTAGTACATCGGCGCTAACATTGTTGCCTATATTTACTTTATACTTTCAAATAGTTTTTTTGGTTTTCGCATTATTTGCATTTGGAACCACGACTACTTTTAACCGTGTTTGTTCTCATCCAAATAAGTTTAATTATTATTAAGACTTGTATTATTGGTGATTAGTAGTGATTCATATTAATTATATACTATTATTAAATTATAATATAGAGGTTATGTTTCTTTGTTTTGGTGTAAGGTTCCATCGGCAGCACTGTAGGAGGCGCCACTCGATTTCCAAATTTGCGAGAGTACGCTACCCCACAACGTTTTTGATACCCTGATGTTTCCGAGAAATGTTAAATTGATATATCCTGGTATTATGACAGAGGCTTTTCCTAGAGGGAAGAAGAAGTAGGAAGGAAAAAAATATTTCCGGGAATCCCGGGGTATTAATATAAATTGAATTTTATATTTTCCTCGTAAAATATAAAATACGAGAAACGGTTTAATTAAATTATTTCAAATGAGTTATATATGATATTATCATAATAATTAAAGTAATTCACAATAATATGTTTCATAGTATTGTATGTTTGAGAAAATTGTATTATGTCCTTGATGTATATTATTCGTTTATAAGGTTGCATAGATGCACTATTAGTTAACCTTAGGCAATGTTGGTCAATATCCTCATTATATTCGGTTTGTAAACATAGAATAATTCATTACGTTTTTGAAAATGGCAGATAATGGAAGTGAATCGCAATGTCCGATTTGTGAAACATGTTTTCCTATTGCTGAGATAGAAGCACACGTAAATAAATGCATATTTTTAAATTGTTCTGAAGAAACACAGAAGAGGCCGGCCTCACCAATTGCGGGTAACAAAGCAAAATCACCGCGCTATAATAATGCACCTCCAAAACCCAAAAATTTTCTTCAATCAAAACAATTAGATTTTAAAAATGTACCATCCACCAGCACAAATGGCCCAAGTACTGCAAGTTCAACAAAATTTTCATTTACTGTTCCTTTGGCAAAGCAAGTGCAACCAAAAACTTTAGACCAGTTTTTTGGACAAAGTAAGGTACTGGGAAGCAATACAGTCCTTCGACAATTACTAGGAAAAGCAGATATACCAAATATGATCCTTTGGGGTCCACCAGGTTGTGGAAAAACATCACTCTCTGGTGTTGTGCATGAGATATGTAAAGCCAATCCTAAAACTTTGAAATTTGTACCACTGAATGCTGCCACATGTGGAGTTAAGGAAGTGCAAACTATTATAATGGATGCAAAAATGCAGCAAAAATTTGGCAGAAAAACTGTACTGTTTATGGACGAAATACACAGGTTCAATAAAAGGCAACAGGACATATTTCTTGCTGATGTGGAGAAAGGCACAATCACATTAATTGGAGCTACCACAGAGAATCCTTCATTCAGCTTGAATAATGCCTTACTAAGTAGATGTAGAGTCATTGTGATGGAGAAACTTGAAACTGATTATTTGATTAAAATTTTGGAAAGGGCAGTAACCACATTGGACATTAAAATTGTCAAGTTGAAAGACGAATATTCTTCAGATGATGGGTAATAAGTGAATAGAAAAAAATAGTTTGAAACAATACTAATTTGTTAATTCCAGATTGACTATAGAACTTGATGCTTTGAATTGGATAGCAGATACAAGTGATGGAGATGCTAGAATTGCTTTGAGCAATTTACAATTGTTGCTGCAGCAGAATGACTTAGACAAAAATAAGTTAATAACAGTTGAAGATATTAAAGATGGAATTAAAGTATTTCATTATATATATTGTTGCTTTATTATAAGTTAAATAATGTACATTTTAGAAATCCCATTTACTGTATGATAGGAAAGGGGAAGAGCATTACAATATAATTTCTGCTATGCACAAGTCTATTAGAGGATCTGATGTTAATGCAGCACTGTATTGGACAACAAGGATGATAGTTAGTGGAGAGGATCCTCTCTTTATAGCAAGGAGATTAGTTAGAGCAGCTAGTGAAGATATTGGTAATAAAGAATTAAAATCAATAAATTCGTGAATGTTTATTATATTCATGATAAATGTAGGTAATTCTGATCCTGCTGCACTTCAACTAGCTGTAACAACCATGCAGGGTTGTCAACTGTTGGGAATGCCAGAAGCTGACGTGCTATTAGCGCAATGTGCTATTTATTTAGCTAGAGCCCCAAAATCTAGGGAAGCAGATACAGCTTTGGCAGCTGCTAAGCAAGTAATCAATAGTTGCGAGGGGTTGCAGCCGTCTGTACCAATGCACATTAGAAATGCTCCGACGAAGCTGATGAAGGAATTAGGTATGGTAGCTTACTTTAAAAAAAAGAACTATATATTTCGTAAGTATGTATTTAATACACAATAAATTAATTACATTTTGTTTAAGGCTATGGAAAAGTAGCTTCAGGGACAAAACCATCATTTATGCCAGCAGGGTTGGAAAATGTAAAGTTTTTCAAATAAAATTTGATTACATATAAAATAAATTATAAATTAAACTATCTATACAAATGTTCGATTTATTTATTTTTTGTTTATCTGTAATATACAGACACACACGACTACATTCACTTAATTAATATATGAATTGAAAAATAAACATATCTTTCAAGATTGCAGTTCCAACTAAGTAGTTATGAAATTAACTAATATTGTATTAATTACTATTCATTTATTAACTGCAAAATGGTGAAAACTCCTTACACATTTCCTAATCAAATAAAAATCAAACTTATAAAATCTATAGTACAAATTAAAAGGATAACCGCAATTGAAAATGATTTCAATATTCTTCTACAGCGAAATAATTCTACTTGCTCCTTTTCATTTTATTTTTTGTTTGTTAAAATATAAAATTTCTTAATCCATTGCAATCGTAATTTAAAAATTAATTATTAAAATACAAACTCGGGACCAGCCATATCTATGGCCCAACGGAATTTGTCTCTTTGAGTTTTATTATAGATTTTTTCAATTGCCACATTAAACTTCTTACACCACGCAACCGAAATACGTGGATCTAAATAATTCAACTTTGACGTACCCAGTGCTATGGTTTTGTTTTCATCCCGATCGGTTTCTTGGATTTGTAATTTTCCTAACTGATCATTAAGCCTCTTCACCTGAAGTTTTTTCTTTTCATAAATCTGTTTTTCTTTGACGCTATTCTTTGCATCTCTTTTGGCCTCTTTCATACCACGTTCCGCTTCTCGTATGGCTTCTCTCTTAGCGTCTATTTTTTCTTTGAGTTTTTCCATAGACTTTTCGTGTGTTTTTGGTACAGCCCGTTGATGGTTACATAAGACAGCTACGGCCCTGTTAGCTCTATTGTATGACAAAATCTTCTCTGCCTCATTATCATCGGCATTTGTTAATTCATCTAATTGTTGCTGTAGAGTAAATGAAGCGTTGTAAGTACGGAATACCTTAGCGGTAAGTCCTTCCATAAGTTCATTAAGATGCTTATTCATTACGGAAGTATTTAATCTGTCAAACAAGTCGTCGCTTCCCTTCTTGTTTTCCATAAATAATTGCAAGTTTTTAAATACACGCTTCTCAACAGGTACTTCGTTATAATATCTAATAGAATCTTTTCCGAGAAAGTCGAATACAACTACGTATTCTTTATCGTCCTTCTCTTCGTGAAGTTGAATATGCTCAACTCGCAATGAGCAACAACCAACTGTATCGGCTTGATCTTCGTCTTTTTCATTACCTGCCCTAAGAGCGAGTTTATCAATGAAATACAAAGCGACAGCTCTCTGCCTAATTCTCATTTCCTTCGACTTCCATTCGTCTTTATAAGTGGTTCGAATCTTATCTATGCACCTATGAAGCTTTCTTGCAGTCTCATATTTCTGCCAATCTTTCTCTCCTTTCAATTTAGAACTAGCATTTAACATAACATATTTGACCTATAAATAAGATAACATAATAAATACACTGATTATTTAATAATATATAGTATAATTACCTGTCCTTGAACATTTTCAGTCCATGATGCTAACCAGGTTACTGTTGGATCATGTCTTACATCTTTCCATCTGTGACCTGCTGGTGGTTTTGGAATTTCAGAGTCTTGACTGCAGTTAATTGAAACGTGCTCTGGTTTGACACGTTTCTTTAATTTGCCCATTTTCGGATGTTCTCCACGACCTCTGAATAATCCAGGAGGTTCAATCCTGAAATTGCCTATTTTCTCTTTATGACCATCAATTTTACAAAATCCATATTCCTTAACGATTTCTTCATTTTTTTCCTTAAGGGCAAGCTTTTCTTCTTTTGTGCGATTTCTATTTTTTTCAGACAATTCCAAAAAGTATGCTTGCATTTGCTTAAAATTGCACTTTGATAAATCTACAATTTTAGATTGCTCCTTTTCTGTCATACATTTTCTCCAATCTCCAAAGAAGTTTTTGTTGAAAATATCTTTTGTTGTATAGTCATGATCCAACATTCGAGCATAAAATCCAGCAACTTCTTCAGCCTCCTCACTCAAACGCATTTCTTTACCATCATAGAAGAATTTTATATTCGATGGTAATTTTTCATATGGTGGTGCAAACATAGGACCTCTGTGTTCCAAAAATTTCCACTTTGTTCCATCATCTTTCTTCTCCTCTTCCCACCTGAAAAAAAATAATTCAAATAAATAACAATATAGTTTTAAATATTTAGAGATTTTTTTTGCACATAGGTTAATTACCTAAATTTGTTCCATTTAATAATAGTAACATTTTTTGTTTCATAAGATTGATGATCACTTATACTCTCAGACTTTATCTCTTGTTCTAACTCTGTTTTTATGCATGTACAAAAATATTTAACCTCAAATATACAAAATTGATTTAAGACACTTATCCTGTGATTTGTTTGATGATAAATAAACTTCTTATTAAATTTAACAATATTTCTTAAATTATTCCACAAAAACATTTCAATCATTTGTGAAAATTATGTAAAGGTACACATCATATCACCTAACCTTCATCACTAGCATGTTTGATATCTAATTTATGCACAGCGCCCACTAGTGGGAGCCGCAAAAAGTTTAAATACCGTGAATCTACTCACCATTTCCAAACATGTTCTTCTTCTTCCTTTTTCTTCTTCTTAGTGGAAGTCGTCTCCTGTTTGACTTCTCTTTTTACCTTCTTTTCCTTCTTGACCTTATAACTTTTCTCTTCTTCATCATCATCTGAATTATAATTTTTTCGCTTTTTACTTTTTTCTTTCTTCACCTTCTTCCTTGAGGTGAGTGGCACATCATCATCATCATCTTCCTCAGATTCAATTTTCCTTTTAGATGATTCAAGTCGTGCAGACTAAAAATATAACATTATTAGAACAAATGAAAAAACTTCAATTAATATAATTCTTATACTAGAATTATTAAAATGAAAATGATAATGTTAGTGAAAAAACATATTCCCACAAAAAATCACATAACTAATAGGCAATTGTATTGTAGCATACCAGTTTGTGTTTGTGGACAACTGGCTTGATCTGCAATGAAATACATCTTCAAACATAGAACAGATATAATAAACAATCATGGGTAAAATCCATTTTCTTATTGAGATATTAATGAAAAGTCTATACGTACCAAGGGAATATCTTCTTCACTTTCTTCATCTCCAACACTTTCCTCCAATTTAGGTTCATCTTTGAATTGAGACAAATTATAATCACAGCTGCTGGCAGCTGAAATGTTCGGATCCTTTTCATAGATGTCCTCATCATTTTCTTCTTTCATTTGATAGTCATTTTCTTCTTTTATAACTAATTTTTGGTCATCATCATCAACAGAGTCCTCTCTATTGAATTCATATTCAGGTTCCTTTTTAATAATTTCCTCTTCTTCTTCCTTTATTGGATGAGCTGCAAAGTTTAAAATATTATTATAATTCAATATAAAATTTGGGTACTGTTTAATTACCATAAGATTTTTCTTTATCTTTTCTATCTTTATCACGAGAACTAGAATGCTTATCCCTGTCCTTCTCTCTGTGCTTATCCTTATGTTTATCCTTTGATGAACTGTGTCTATGACGATCTTTATCTCTATCTTTATCCCTTGAACTGGATTTATGTTCTTTATCTCTAGAGCTCTTGTGATCCCTGTCACGATCTTTATCCCTTTCTTTATCTTTATCTCTTGATGAGCTGCTACTAGACTTATGATGATCTCTACTCCTATCTTTATCTCGGCTAGAGGACTTGTGAGATGAGCTATGACGATCCTTGTCTTTTGAGCTCACACTATGCCTATCTTTATCACGGCTTGAACTTTTATGAGATTTGCTCCCATTTTTATCTTTATCTCTGTCCCTATGTTTGTCTTTATGATCAGATTTGTGGCTCTTGTGGTTATCTGAATAACCATTACTCACACCATTCATGTGTGATGATGAGCTGGTTTTGTTGCTCTAAAAATACATATTTTATTGTAATGAAGAGGAAATACGCTTATTATTAACATAAACTAATATTATTTTTACGTTGTAACAGATTGTATGCAAGTGGTGAAGTGGAAAACAGATGGTAAAGTTACTTATTCACCTTAAATGTATAAAAGTTTGATTGCAAAACGCGACTATAAAACCTATTTAATTACTGAAATACTCGATAAAATTAAATAAAAAATACGTATTGAAGAACGTGAAGCAATAATCTAGACTTTACTTTCTACACATTTTTACCAAAAATGTACGGGAAGAGATTATAGAACTTATAGCATGCTTGTATAAGGAAACGTGGGACATAGTCTCTGACGCCATTTTAGGACTTAGAAAAATTTACGCTTGGTCCAAGCGAAATGCAATCAGCAAAGTGCTATTATATTGAAAGATACCAAAAATTCACCTGAGCAAAATTGTAGAGTTTTACAAAAGAAATAAAATTATATACTTACAGAGCCGTTATTTTCATCACTAACTGAGTTTTCGTTGTCCATAGTGTCTAACACCATCCAACTCTGTCGTTTACCAAAGCAGAACACCGATCACAGAATGCTAGGCCAGGCCACAGGTTTTCTCTGCTTTTCTCAAAGTGCTCACTTCGATCAAATGCGCATGCGGCATATTCACTAATGGCAATAACCCCGTAACCCGCCTTATTCAAACGTTCAACTTCTGTATTTCACAATTACATAAACGACATTCAAAGTACACAACTTGTCATAAATTGTTACTTACATTCACACTGCCAATAATCCAAATAGCAATTGTTTCCAAGGCAATCAATTATATATTTATTTATTAATTTATTGTTATCACTGCTACAACTAAAAAATACATTTTTATTATAATTAGCAAGTATTTAATAGTTTTGAAATAACCGACGAAAGGAAGCAAAGAAATATCTAAAATTAGTTCAATAAACAGTAAATTAAAAAAAAAAGTATCTTTTACCTTCGAGAATTTATATTACAATTTTACTGTTACTCACTCATCTCGCGAAAGAGAATGCAAAAACTAAATGAATACTGTGTTATATTAAAAATATCTCAATTTCTATGTTATATTTCAAGAAAAAATAAAATTATAATTATTGTATTATTTACTTACAAATTTATCAGCACTCTATGGTACAAATGAATTGTATGTTTATCAACGTTAAGGTCAATGAAAAAAATAAATATCTGAAGAAAAATTTATTTATTTATTTACAAATTCCTCTTTTCCAAAATTGGGATAAGGATTAATAAAAACATACATATTTATTTTTTATAAAATATTGTCGCGTCCTAGAGATGAGAATCTGGAAAGAGTGTATCGTTGCAAAGTCTCGGTGAATAGGAATTATTGAAATTATCTGAACCTATCAATTAAGACTTATGTTCTTCTCATGGACTACCAACTAAGACTAACTCTACTTCTACAAGTAAAACAGGATGGATGTTATTATTTGGGAGTAGGGTCTCAATTGTAATTTATTAATTAAACATTTCCCATTGATGCTATTTCGATGGAATTTTCTTACTCGCTATTCTGGGTGATAAAATTGCATACTTTCATCCAGACATCACTAATTATCCATAAAAATTGTATATTCTATTGTTATACTCGATATAACATCTACTTTTTATAAATTAGATTAATGTGTTGGTCTTTCAACTTCGAAAATTTAGTAATTACTTGATCCAGAAAATCCTCCTTTGCATAAACTTCCCATAATAACTTACTTTCTACGTAGAGTAAAGATAGAGAAGATGATTTGCGTTCAGTCATAGACTTTGTTGAGTATGCCTTTATGCGTTCTAAACAAGATAATTGACCCTCCACCGAAACGCTTGTACCTGGTATTGTGCAAATCAATACAAATAGCTTATAAGCTTCAGGGAATATCTCTGTAAATTCATTTTCAACAAAGAACCTTAGTATCTGTTCAATACTTAAAGAATGGAATAAAGTGTCCTTATAAAGAACACTTAATTCGTTTATCAACTGTGGCTTATCAAAGATATCGGCGAATTGTTCGATCAGACTATTCAACAAAGTCATTGGAAACGAATCGCTGTAGTTTTTGAACTTCGAGCTATCCGCCAAAGAAATGTATAACATCGAACCCATATCATTGAAACGCGTATCAATTTGTGATATAATATTATCTACGATTTCAAAATATAACGACGCGAGTGTTGTTCTCTCTACATCAATATGTTCAATTTCTTCTTCGCTTAACTTGCTCTGCGCGATTATTATGAAATCATCCAATTGGGAATCCGTTCTCAATGTTTCGATCTGTATCTTCACGCAAGTCAGTAAATTTTGACACAGATAAACATCCAAAGATTTGTTTTCTAAAGTATTAAAAAGTGTATCTGTGATACTGAATATTTGACAATAAACTGTTGTTAAGAAAGCGAATTCAATTTTGCTAAAATGTTTTAAGTAATTCATAGATGAGTTAACGGACTCCGCAGATGAACTTGGATCACTGATAATTTTAGAAAATACTTGATGTAATTGGTGCCATTCAGTATTTACGATATGAAGAACACGGGAAAGTGAAGACCAGTATGATTCGCAAACCATAGGAAAACACTTTTGGATAACTGAAGTTAGAAAAAAGTTTCTTTTCGCACACCGATGAAAAAAATGCGGAATTGAAGAAATCGTGGCAAAAAACAATCTACAATTTTGGATGTGATTGGATCCATTCTGAAGGATTAAAGTTAATCGAGTGATTGGAGCATGTGGAGCGTCACGTTTCATTTCATTCACAAGTTCATCTAAACAAGTTTTTTTAATAGAAGCGCCATCATAACATTGTGCAACTAATTTCTTTTCATAATGTAAAGGCTTTAAAACATTAGTAATAATAACATATAAATTAGATGCAGTTGTCTCTTCGTTTATATCGTAAAAACCTAAACATCGTTCCTTCAATTCGCCTAATTTATTAACAAACCTTAAAGACAGAGCGCATTGAGGTTTTTCAAGTAAATCCGCGGAATCGTTAACTTGAACAGCATAATACAAAGCATCTTTTACCTCTTGATGGATTATATCTATAAGATAGTTTGCAATACATTGAATTAAATCATTTTGAATGGATTGACAAACATCTGTAGAAGTAGCTTCGATTTTTAATACGTGCTCTTGCATATCTGAATCGCGTTTAATCAACATATTAAACAATTCTTTAAAATTATTGCAGTTTGATGAACCAGACGTATCCAGATCCTGAAAGGAAAGTTGCTGTTTTACCAGTGTCACTGTAACATCTATCAAATAACTTAAGAGTTTTCTGTTCTTTTTAACTTCTTCATTGAATCTCAACAAAATCGCTGGATCTCCTTTTAAAGCATTCGCTAATATGAGAGCATCTTTATCCATACGTTTCAGTGATAGAAAATTCTGCATGTGTTCTTTGGAACGCTCATGTTTCCTTACGCTGGCTGACAAGTTTTTAAGATCTGAATATCCTTGTGTCACCCAAACTGTTTGTTTGTAATTGGATAATAATAAACACGGCCAACAAAATAACGAATTTTTGAATGTGCTACCGCACAGCCATTTGTGATTATCGTACCATGAAGTTTTGAAAGACCTCGAAAATGTTTGTCCAAGTTTCCTATCTTTATACAGAATAGTTAATGCAGGCACTGGTCGAGGAAAAGATAGTATGTCTTGTCGTTCAATATTGTTACGTTGAGCATAGGGTGTTTCCAATAAACTGCAAACGATATCATGAACAACGTCCATTTCATGGGTCGTAACTGCATCGTTTTCACTTTCTTCAATGTGTCGGTCATTGCTAACATTGCAACTTGGCTCAAAAGTGTGCTGTTGAGTAATATTTACATTATTCTCATTACTTTCAGTTAGAAAATATACGGTTCCATCCCCTTCATAAGTCACTTCATTGCAACAATTAATTTGCTCGTTTATAGTTAATTCATCATTAATAGTTATTAATTGACTTGCGTTCAAATCGATTATTTCATTTTGATTGTATTCAACTTTATTTGTTGACTTTGTAGAACATGACTGAAAAGACACAATTAGTTATTACATATTTTTTTTACCTCGAAACTATAAGATTAGATAAAAGTTAATTAAGTATAAATAGTATTTACCTCGTCTATTATACAATAAAATACTTACAGATTCATATAAATCCAAAATATCTTCATAACAATTTTCAGTGCTTGATGTATAAGAATTGTTTACTGAAAGTTGTGAAACCGTTCTATTCTGATTACCACTTTGTACATTGCCGTATCCAAATTCATTTTCGAACAACATTTTTTGTATGTTTATACGAGCAAGCTGATTCTTTTTGGGGCAAAGTCGTTTGAAAATCGGCAAACAACTTAGTAAAAATTGTTCATCGGGGTGAGGTTCTTTACCGATTATTTGTAAAAGCTTCTCATCTTCTGCAACCTCGCGTTTACGTTTCTTTTGATGATTTTTGTTTTGAATCTCAATGAAGGTGCTGGGTGTATCTGTATTTCTGGTAGAATTTTCTGTATCTGTAAATTCGTGGTTTCCTTGAAATTCTTGCATTTGTTGAAACTCGTTTAAATAGCTTTGATCGTCTTCAAATTCTTTCTCATTTTCTATAGAACTTTCTCTGAATTCTATGTGAGGAATTAGAAATAACATGTAATTATAATAAACCCATTTCTTTTTGCTTCCCACTTTCGATCCAGCAGTATATTTAATGGCACGATGATATCTGATGAAGGCATCTCTTAAAGAACGCCACCTTTTCTTTACTGTATCGGTATCTAAAAAAACAAAACAAAAATAGCAAATATGCTATTACCACTTTACACATAGATTTCCAAAATTAAATCTATGCCAACACTATGTACAACATAAGTTACCCGGCGCATTCACATTATTAGTTAACATCGAATCATATGCATTTCAATATATGATTTATGTGAAGGCGCCGGGTACTCCAACCTGTAATTTTCTTTTAAAACTAGATGACATAATGTTTAAAATCTATTTTATTATCTGTATAGTTTAATTTATTATAGACTACATATTATTCTTAATAATCTGCTCACCTAATTGCAATAAAATCGCTACTTCTTTCCATGCTTCCTCTCGAGTATTACTATTTTTGTAAGTTATTAACCCCTTATCATACAGAACAGGTCTCTTTTCTACTTCTAGTATTAATGATTCTTCCATTACTCCGCTGGTGCAAAAACCAGGTTATTCCCCGAATTTCTATTATGTAAGCTTCGGCGTACGTTAGAGTAACCCGATGTAATTACATCATGAAGATTTCTTATTTTATATATTTGCTGCAACGACTGAAGCAACTATTGAAGTAGGAATACAATATAGACAGGAATTAATCAATACTAAATAAATGGAAGCAATGGTATAACAGGAAAATGTAAACAAGCAATTAAAATAGTTGTTGAGGATTCGGATAGAGGCGCTGCTTCATAAATCTATATGAGCACAGAAGTATATCTACCCTTAAGTAGTATTCGCAACGCGAAAACAAGTTTTTATATGGATTCATAGAAAGCATTATTTCTTCAGGTAGTCAATAAATATATTATTTATATATCTAAAAAATTTATTCATTCACAAAATATATTACTTCTGTACAATATATAATGATACGTAATTGCTACAAAAAAAAATGAAAATACTCAATCTTTGGATTAATTTTTATTTGTACCTTCTTCTGGAGCCCAACATTAAAATACACATGCATAGAATCGAAGTAAAATATAATTTTTATATTGTTTTTCTTACAAATTTATTAATAATTATTATTAGTTAGTAATTATATAAAACAATTGCAATAGAAATATATAGTAAACTGAAATTATACGTAATATTGACAAATCATTGATAATCATTATTTGTTGCAAATAAAAATAAACTTATATTGATAACAGAATAATAATAAAGAATAAATGAAATCTTTATTTAGATTAAAAAAAAATACGATTTAATAAGTAATAAATCGTAAGAAATCAATGATTGTAAAATACAATAATATCAAAATTCAAATTTGGGAGTGCCATCAACATTCCAAGTATTCTTAACCTTTTCAAAGGCAAATGATAAATAGATTGAGGACACTTCCCATTCTGATTTGGATAGAGTTCCAATCTTCATTCTTCTGTCCTCATTGTTTTGCTTTAAGAAGTTCTCAGCATGGGTATAATCATTTGGAGATGTGCCCACTGTAGATTGATCAGATGGATAGGTTTCCAAACTGGACATATTGCTCAGTAAATTTCGTCCTTCCAACTTCAATCTTTCAAAAGTGTTGTAAAACTTTTCCTTGTTAACCAGCTTCAAGCCATATTTTTTTGCAAGCTCAGTTAGTGTTGGGAAATGTACTAAAAATTCAGGACAATGAACAACACCATCCAAATGAAAGTTGTACCTGGCACCAAATAGTGGAGGCCTATCAGTATCACACTCAAAAGAAACTTTGTAGACATCATTGCCAAACTTATTCATACCAGCCTTGTTTCTTCTTGACATAAGTTCATTTGCATCAGGAATTGTGCCAATAAAATAACCACCAGGGTTTAAACATTCAGCTGCATTTCGTATCATGCATTCAGCTTGAGGCAAACTTTCAAAGCTGTAGTGAAATGCAAACTGACAACTCACCAAATCCAGCTTTATTGAAGGATCTGCATACTTTTCACGTAAACGGACTTTGGTACAATCAGCATGTATTAGCTCTATACTATATGAACTACCGTTTCTTTTATTTGTTTCATAACGAGACTTACATTGATCCAGAGATACAGCAGCAATATCTGAGCAAATTAAATGTGAAATGCCAGCTTTTCTCCATTTCAGGAGGTCACCACCCTTGCCGCAACACATATCTAAAACACGTATTGGTACATTGTGTCGTTTGCTGTCTTTTATCTTAACTATATATTCATTTATTTGCATGCTCTTGATCCAATTATGAAAGTTTCTCATGTACACTATACGAGACTTGTTGCGTTCATCCAATCCTTTTTCCTCTAATTTATTGTAGTGAGTTTCAATAACACTGGCATAACCTGTTTGTTTCTTGCAATCTTCCTCTATTACATCATGTTTCCTTTTCTTAGGCGCCGTTTCATGTGATTGCGTAGTTACGATAGGCTCTTTTATAACAGTCTCTGGAGCTGCTTCATTCACTTCTTGCTCTGGGTCAGTTTCCATTTCATTCTCAATTTTCTTAATAACACTAACTCTTTGAACTTCACAAGCTCTGGCATCGGATTCAACAGCAGCCAGCAATAACTCCTTTTCCAAGTCATCATTATCACTTCCAGACATTATATATTTGTACTTACACTTCTCAATAACAAAAATAAAAATGTAACTGAACCTCTATTTGGTTTTGTATTATTGCTGATGGATAGATGCATGGGTTACATATGTTACTGCATATAGCCAACGTAAGAAGAAAATAAACATTATTCAAATTATATATAAAATATATGTCCACAATTGTAATATAGTTACACTAATCCCGTTTATATCAATAAATAATGAAGTATAAAACTAATATTGTATAATTTATCTTAAAACATTGCCTAAATATCCGATTTGCTAAATATGCAGAAACAAGATTACCAACATAGGTACATCATAATAGTTGAAGTTTCATCCTATTTTAAAGGTTATGTTGGTTTATGTGTAAAAGGGTGACAATATTGATTGTTGAAGATGTTTAAAAAATTCCATAAACTACCTCAAAGGAAACAATTCAACTTGAAACCAGATGAATTGTTGGAAGATATAAATAAAGTTAGTGGTGACGAAGATCAGAGAAATAAATTGTATATATGCATAGAAGATAAAATTCCACCTCAAGAAAACAAGTTCACCAAAATTGAAGACTTTCTACATCGTTCAGATAGATTGGAAAACCTATCAGAGACGTTAATTGAGTTGTCAGATGAATTAGGAGCTTTAGAAAAACAACTTAAACTAGCTTCATGTCATCTTAAAGATATGGTATCAGAAACATTAGTTAAACATAGTTCATAATATTCAATCACTTTATTATGTTTTTTTATTGTTACATTATGCTATTAATTCACGAAAATAAAAACTTATTATATAAGGAGTCTATATGAGTTGAGACTATAATGGTAATTGGTATTCTGCTGCTATTTGACGAACGTTTGGGTCATTGCCACCAACGCAAAAACTGCATGGGTAAACTAAAATAATATATAGAAAAGTATGTAAATTATAAGTTTTATAATAAATAATCCATCACCCTACATGTATTGTTATTCTTTCGATGTTTTGTTATATTTATTCATTTTATAATATAATTTTATATAAAAAATATTTGTGTTAATTTTAATAAATGAAATGATGTATTACATTATGCTTTAGAGTTGAAAATACTCACCACAACTAAAGTATGACATCTTAGCAAGTAAGCAATTCTAAGGAAGAAAAGAAGAGATCATAAAAGCTGGTTAAAAGTCAATAAATTTATTTGTATAAATTGATATGGTTACAATCATACAATATCCTGAATTAAACTAATATGTGTGTATAAAATTCCTTGGCATATCTGTCCCCAGGTCCATACTTGCGTAATGCGATGAATGCCATACATTGAAAATTCTTGAACTGGCGGAGTTTACTATAAATTTATTTAATTTAACCAACTTTTTCAGTGCACGAAAAGAACCCAAGGCGTTGATACATATACCATAATTTGCGAAAAGAATAAGACGAAGAGCTTGTAAAAAAATCAATAGTCTTTATTAACAATCATTTTAGTCTTAATTGGACGGATTCGAGTCAAGTTTTTAACAATCTACGTTACATAAAGTATTAATTCATTAACAGTTCATATAATCATTTGAATCAATATACATTGTATAGTATTACTTAATATTGGTAAATATATAATCGTTTAATAAAATATACAACATTTGTAATAGGTACTAATGAGTAAGTTTATTTATAAAATAAACCGATTAGGAAAGTTAGTAAGTGCTTTCAAAGTTAAGTACGGCGTTGTAAATGTGTTACTTGGAATACAATTGTTGTTAAAATTCCCTTCCCACAATGTAAATGCTTTTGATCCCTATGAGTGAGTTTATTGTCTAATTAATAGAATTAAAGAGGTTGGTCTGGTAAGCAACAGAAACTACTTAACGTCAACTTGCCTGCAGGTTTGCATTGCAGATGGTCATCAATGTATTGACATGGACATGTTAGATTGGCGCAGTGCCGACCGCCCTTTGCAGGTGGACTAGCTAAATACCCTCTAACTCTATCTTTCCCCCATCTAGAAGCATAACGCAGATACAAGAGCGTCGCTCTTTCCTAAAATAATAACAAAACAGATATATAATAGCATGGGACATTTTGCAAAGTGCTTACTATTATGTTAAATATTTTATTTTTAGTCAATGCCACGACGTGCCAGAATTGAGGATAAACAAGGACAGCAGTCTCTTATGTCTGTGCGGGGAGGTTTGTTCGCCAATAGATCTTCAATGTACTGACAAGGACATAGAGAAGTGGTAATGTGTCTTGGATTGGAAGGATTGCCCATGGCTTCATCTAATGTCCAGTCTAATCTTCGACGTAAGAAATCTTTACCCCATCTTTGCAAGTACCGCGTGAATACCTGTTCAGCCCGACCCTGCAATAAATACGCTTTGTCTATTTACTCTACTCAATTTCAATATAATAAAATTATTAATATAATAGTAAGCACATTAACAAACAATTAGAATTTAAAATCCCTCTTCAATTCGGAATTTGTAAATAGTAAATGGATCTGAATATTATTACAAAATACGCAATTTAAATATTCCATAATTATTTTGTTTATGTAAACCATTTATATCAGTTGGGTTATAAATAATATTTCAAGGTGAGATAAACAGATAAAAAAATATTCCGAAACTTTTACTATTAATTAACATTATTTCATTGATTCTCACCTGTTTTCTGGATAATCTCGTAGTTCTGCTACCCTGTATAACAATATCATGAGCGCTGATGTCCATTCTTTGCTCCCACCCATTCGAGTCTCTTTCCTGCTGCTCTACGCTAGTTTGCAAACGGTCTATGCACTGTGCAGGATCCAAGTAAATGAAGCACAAAGTTACTTTGTGACATGAAATTTTTCCTCGGTCGTCAAGAGCCAAGACGATCTTGTGCCTCAGCAATTGCTTATTTACATGCGCGAGACATCTTTCTAAGTTTCTAGCTAATTTGAATTTGATCCACATAGAAAAGAAAATTGCGGCCGCGTTTAATATTAACCATCCGATGCCAAGCCCAAATAAAGTTAAGCCCGTCAGACCGGAAAACAATAAACTCAGAAGCACGCAGAACGCCAATGTTATCCACACAACAAGCACTCTTTTGTAGCAGATATTGTACATAGTGAACCTATAATCGTTCACTAACAATTCCATTGTTTGTACATACTCTTCAACAGTGAGCTGAAACAATAACAATAGCAATTCCAATGAATCATCATAATGTGTGTAGTATACATAACAACATAAACATAACATTTTATTTCTTCATTTAATATGGACATACTTATAATTAATTATAGGCGTTGTCTAAAAACTTGTTTTTAATTAAAAATCTTTTTGATTTGTTAAAAATGAAACTCGTTATATTCTAATAAGATTATCAATTTAAAAAAAATAAATAAAAGCGAACAAAATATTTGATGTTAGTACTCACTGTTAATCCTTGTGCCATTAATTCTTCAGGTACTAATTCTGGACGGAATTGAGCTGGTGTAACCCATGGGAATCTTGTATTCACTGGTAATAGGGTAACTATAATATCGCCATTATCTAAAAGCAAATACAAATAAAACTATTATTTAACAACTTAAATAAATACAATATAAATACGTACTAAATCCCTGTCTGATTGTCTCTCCGCTGGTTGGTAACTCGACATTTCGTAAATTTTTAGGGTCCAATATTGCAGGAGCGTTGTTATCCTGTCCAGTTGAATTTACACTTCTCTCCAAGTTAACTTGCACACTTTCCGTTGTTATAACCGCTGCTTGCGCACTTTTTCCAGGACCTGATTCCTCCTCGAAGTGGACCCATGCCTTACTTGGCGATGGTTGTGCAACAGGAGCAACGGAGTCCCCTTGTCCAATTTCTACCTTCGTTTCTTTTATATTGGAGCCCATTTTTATTATTAATTATTGGACCTGTACTTTGAATACGCTGATTGTTACATGGTATAATGTGTACTGACTTATGACTACTTGTACACTGATAAGATACTAAAGGGGGGCGTTTCTTCGTTTTAATGTTTCTTTTGTACCTGCCAGGTGAGCTGGCATTATTTACCATCTACCTGTACACTCTTTAACAACAATAATACTAGGTGGCGCACTGCGTTGCGTTTGAATCAATCGTGAACGTATGCAGGTGTATTGTAATTATACTTTGTAATCAATAATATTATTCTTTTATTAGCATTGTAATTTATATTCATATGAATGCGCACACAAATCTCACTTCGCTTTGTATATACAAATATGAACATACATATTCTTTGCATATAAAACATGACTCGTCTATAGAATGTGGCACACTTTTATCATATAGCATTTGAAGCTAATTTAAATACTTCGATTAATTTTAATTATTCGCGTTAATATTATTTTAAATGATAAATTTATGAAAATTAAAAACTTATTATACAAAACATTTAATTATACTTCTCTATATTTACGTTCATTAGATTATAATGACTTTTAAAGAACTAATTGATTAATATTTAATTGCAAATTATATTTTAAAAACTTCGAAATTTAAATATTTTGTTTATTCTTTAAGAAAATATATTATATAACATTGCTATTGCAATTTAGTTTAGTATATAAAATTGCAAATTCAGAAGCAAAAGAGTATAATAGATTTTCTATTAAAACGCTAATACAGTTCAAACTCAGTACTTAACAGTTTCGAAACTGAACAAATTCGGTACTAGTTGAATACTCTGAACTCAAAAGTCTATTCTCATAAAGAACAATAGCGAAATAACATGTAAGGTGTAAGGAAAGTTTATGCATTTACATTATTCTTTATAATCATAAGCTCAGCAGCAAAAGTTAACGAATGATTCACCGACGAATACCGAATTTACTGTGGTAATTCGGAACTGCATACAAAATGCGTAAACATTACATTTTTGTTTATCAAACATTTTTGTTGATGACACATATCATAAATTTAAATATATTATTTTTGTTTAAAATTAAATTTTATTAATGATCATGATACAAGGTACACCTGAACGCATATTAAGGGTCACCAAGACCGTAAATGAGAGGAATGGGATGTAAATAATCTTGAGGTTATGAAAATACAATATTGAAATATGTACTAATCAATAAGTCAATAAATTTATATAATTCATTTTTGTCAATCTGATACTACGCGATGATGATATTAGTTTACTGGGATTATATAAATAAATATAAAGTAGTACACATTTAAATATTTATTTTAACGGTAAAATAAAACATAAGCTATAGAACATCTAAAAATATATAATAATATATAAAATTCAATTTCAGGTTGTACCACTCTGTGCAACATAATTACGAAAGTAAATAAAAATTATAATTAATTGCTATCTGATGATACAGCAGCCTGCTATAAACAATCAATCAATTCTTTTTAAGTCCTTTAGATTGTTCAATTTTCGTATAAATTTTCTTTTCAATGCCTTGCAACACGTTGTCAGTATGATCCTTTAGTTTATCCTTCTTCAACGCCAGTTCTTCTTTCTTATCCTTCATTGAATAGATGAGGGTCTCTTTCTTCTCTTGGTACATTTCCTTCAATTGCTGAGTACTTGGCACAGGCTTAATATAACCCCATTTCTTTAAGTAATTAATTGATAATGTTGTACCACCCAATGTAACAGTGTATCTGAAGGGTGTTGCCACTTTATAGAGAGCATAAGAGATAGCCAAATAACCCATGCTTGAGTCCCTTAAAGGGTTAGTTATTTTTTCACTGACATTCCAAGTTTCCATAATTGCCACAATGTCTATTCCACTGAAATATAAAAAAAATATATTTATAATTACAATTGTTATTATTGTAAATATATTACCTTTTAGCTAAGTAATAGAATCCGCCGAACCAAGCAGCTGATGTTACTAAATGAACTGGAACCAGAACATACCAGTAGTCCCTGTACATTTGTTTAAACCTTTGAAAAATTGAAATCTTCTTAACAGGTTCCTCAATTTCATCCTGTTTATTCCCAGAGTAGTGCCTCACATCAGCAGTATACTTAAAATTATATTTACAAGCACACAGTGTGTCCAGTTGGTAATTGTAATTACGGTTAGTATTCTGCACAATAAAATTATTTAAAACAGGTGTGTTAGATAAGTACTTTGGCAAAAGAATGGATGTACATCTTCTGTTCCGTAATATTGTTCTATATACAATTGTTGCCATTTTTCATTGATGTCCTGGAGTTTACAAGGAATGAGAACAAATATTTAACCTCAAAATACCTACAAAACAAAACGCATTACACTTATTTACGTGCTGTATATTGGCGAGTAAACTATTTACCTTAGAAGTATGTGTTATTTAGTAATGGTTTCACTTGCGGTAATAGTTTACCATTTTTCTGACACATTACAATTCGTAAGCCGACATCGTCGTAGACATGCCTGACAATCTAGTATTCGCTGATTGTCACTATCATTGCCTATTACCTATGACCTCAGGCCATTTTTATCTTCCGATACTAATTGAAACTGCTATTTTTTTTTCAAACTTTTTACTACTTTACTGCAATACTAAAAGTAGATATATAATGCTCTAAATTACGACCTAAATAAACAGACATATAAATAATCTTGTAAACACCTACAAAATTGGCAGATTTACAATTCGTACATGTTATAATAGAATCTGTTTGAAATTATACATCAACTAGTAGTTTATATAGAAGAATACTTCTTGATAATCATAGGAAATATATATCTTAATGTTATGAGATTATTCTCCTAAATAGGATTCATAATCAATAAAATTGAGTTAAAATGTATAATTTTTCAATGAAAACTATTGATAATCTAAATATTTACCACACAAATTTAGCAGTAAATACGGACTGTTATATAATCAACTACTTATCTACAATCTTCAATGATTTTCATCGAATACGTTTGCGAGTTCTCATTTGAAATTATAAAGTTTTAATCTTTATTAAAAAGAGTACCAAGAATAATCACAAAGTATTAAAAAAAACTTTGTCTTATCTTGAGTGTAACCCATCTATGATATAACTCAATTCTATACTTCTTTCTAAAATTCAAAATACATATTATTTAATATTTCTTACCTTAATTGATGCTGTAATTTGGAATTTAAAATATTCATATGAATAATTAACTCTGAGTTGACATCGTCTTGCCATATTTGTGAAACTAGTTACTGGAATAACCTGAAACTTGTATACTTTTTCCTACTTCTTGAAGATTGAACTCTTTTATGTGGATTGTTTCTTAAATATTACAAATAACGGGTAATATCAAAAGAAGAAAACTATTAAAAACTGAATTGATTTATTTCATATAGCATATCAGTCATACCCACATCTACTTTACAATTTGGATTTGCTTATTCTTGTTTTGCCACCAGTCATCACGTAGTCGCGTTCATTGAGAACTACAGTGTAAAATATAAACACACATTTTGCGCATTTTACTTCCTATAAATATCTAATCTTAAGAGTTAGCTTATCAAAGTTAGAAAATTTTGCATTCTTACCACGTATTAGATCTTTCGTCTTTTTGATTTGGGCCATATGCAAAGCTTTCATACATAAAACCTATTTATAAATATATTCTTCTTGCTAAGTAATATTATAAATCTGCACTATTTGTGTTGATCGAATCTGTTTGTTTTATTCTTTCAATACTCTTTTTCCTTTTTTTTTTGTCACTTATAAAATACTGTGGATATTATGTGTATTATATAACAGAATATTAGAACTGATCCACTACATATTTACATATTTCTTTATATGTACAAACATAATCAACAGAAATAGATGTTATACATTTATTTATAAATTCGAGAACAACATAAATTTAATTCCATTTTCTTTTATTAAAGAATAGATATAAACGTCCTCCATTCCATATTACACTCTATATGTTATGTTATTTAAAAAAAAAAACAAAAAAATGAGAAATGTTACTTCTTTACACAACATCATAAAATGCGAGATGTATTTTGAAAATGCTATTATTATACGAGATTGGTTGAATGAATGAAAATAATGTAAGTAATTTAGAATTTGCTACGATGACGTGATAATTACTTAATTTCAGGTACATATGCTAATATGTACGTTTATAACACAGACACTGTCAATGCCTAAAAAAGTAATTTACATGATCATAATTAACAGTGCATGAACATAATAACATTTCTTATATATAAATGTAATTTTACCAATAAGTTACAAAATCTAATATTAAAACTCAAATGTTTATGTTAAAAGTGAAAGTCTTTCGCATAATTTTTCTAACATAATTGGTAAAATTACATTTCGGAATACGCAAGTTTTGTACCCATATAGTAAAAAAAAAAAGAGAAGTGAAGTTTAGAATTTTACTCTGAAGTTTTATCACCGTCTATCGCCGGCGCTTTATCCTCTGTTTTAACTGTTTTTTCTGTGTCACTCTTCTCTGTTGTTTCAGGTGCATCACCAGACTCTTCTTTTGCTCCATTTTCAGCAGATTCCTATAATAACAATTGTTACGATTATTTCATATAATTTATGAATAATAAATCAACTTACATTGGTGGAATCAGTTTCCGCATTGTTGTTTGCTGTTTCCTCCTTCTCGTCATCGTCGTCATCCTCGTGAGTGTTATTTTCGGCAACTGGTTCAGCTGTCGCCTCCTCCTTCTTCTCATGGTCATCCTCTTTAGCATCTACTTCATTTACAGAATTATCTTTGCCTTCGTCGTGCGAGGTTTCCTCTTCTGAAACGCTAGCATTCTTTTTGGGACGGCCACGTCCTTTTCCTTTTACCGGCGACGACGCATTTGTACTTTTCCTTTCTTTCTTCTCCTTCTTCTCTTTCTTAACTGGAGGTGGTGGAGTAGCTGTTACTCCTTTGGCGGCAGACCTTGTGCGCCTTCGACCTTCCACTTCTGGTCCTAGACCCTGCAATAAATAGGAATTGACAATCTGTGTTCACGACTCAATTGAAGTCAGTGCGTGTTTACCTTCGTAATAGCTTCGCTTTCTTCACGTGTTCTATCGATGGTGGAAAGTCGCGGAGATTTTGCTTTTTTCGCTTTAGACGATTTGTCATTCTGAAAATACAGAGCTTCTCAATAAAACATTCACATAAGTTATTAACGTATAACTGCACGCAGACTACCCTCAACATTACGATTTTTTTCCGAAATTGAAACGTTTAGATTGCTATTATAAAGTTTAAATTCGTATGAGGAAGATGATGCATTTTATCATGTTAACAAATATGCCATTCTCTACAAGCTTTTTGGAATCTGCATATGCAATATTTAAAATATTTGGCCATTATCAGTGTATCGGGTAATGCCCTCTACCGACTTGCACAAAAACTAAGCGACGCTTTTCTGCCCTCTACCAATCTTACAATACATTACTTGTGACTTTAAGGTAACCAAAACAGGTATTGGTTAACGTCTGTCCACTTTCCTTGTTAAAATATACGTTAATAAATTGTGTATATATCTTATTGGGACGCTCTGTATTGCATTTAAACTAAGGTATTCGCTTTTCCCTCCAAAAGTGTAAACAACGATAGGTTCAAGTGCAGACCAACGTTTCGAACGCTCTCTCGTTTAAACGAGTGCTAAATAATAACGAACGTGTGTCTTAGCTAAAGCAAGCGGGCCATCATGATTGTTGAAAAGCATAGATTCATGTAAAATTTGTTTTTTAAAAAAAATCTCCCGCTCAAGATAGCACACGATTTATCCAAAAATTGATGATTGTCCTTTGATGGGGACACGATTTTATATATTCGGCGGCATTCAAAATATGCATAAACTCATTGGTATGGCAATATTAGAATGTGATTTCACACACGACAGTTCCGAACTTTCTTATTAGACTTGGGGGGTTTAACCATCAACAGTCACATTCTAACTATGCTGGATGCATTACGTGCACATTGCATAGATGCACTCTTTCCATAACAAATAATTGCATTAGTATAGGCTTTACCTGATTGTTTTCTTCATTTATAGAATTATTAGCGGCGACGGCTTCTGCTTCAGACATTTTTGATGATGAATTTGCACTAAAACCAGATATAGATCACTGAGAAACACCAAAACGGTTTTAACCCGGTCGTTGTTTATACAGTACAAATGGCGACCAGCGTCGGTCATGTGATCACAACATGGATGACAACCTTGTGGTGGGAAATTCAAATGATTCGGTAACGGTCGTTAACGAATCATTCCCATCGACCGAACTAAACTTTAAATCCCGAAACGAAAGTATCATAATTGCATAAACGAATAACGTTAAATTATTAATTTTCCTATCAACTCTTTATATATTCTTTATATATAACATTCCTAAGAAATTACGTAATACTATTATTAAATAAATTACATTTATAGACTATATTAACTTGAAAACAATTCCCATTATTAACGTTTTTGTTGTATTAAAAACCTTATATTAAATATATATGGAAGCATGGTATAAGAGACTAAGACATGATAATTATATAAGTTACGTATATAAAATATATTTCTCTGGTAACACCAATAGAGAAAACTCCCGCGCTTATGTTAATTCTTAATTTATGTTGTACTCAGCTTACAAAAGATATAAAAATTAATATTTTGTTTGCTCCATTATTATATAATATAATTATGCCTTCATTAGAATATTCTGTGTTTACATTTACTTAATATGATTTTATGTATATTGAATACAATCAGTTAAATCAAATATATGTAACTAATTAATAACAAATTCATAGATTAATTTGTTTTAATTAAAATCAAGATTCTTATTCTTGCATGAATTTTAAATAGAAAGTTATAAGAAACTGGACAAATATTAAGTTTATATTGGTAAAGGGAATTAAATAATTGTGTAATAAAAATAAAAATTTAATTAAGTAAAACAGATATATGATTATAGAAAAACCACATTTCAATCCTAATACTATAAATTTTTAATGACAATATAATCTTTTAATAATTTCCTTAATTTGCCAATAAGCTGTATCACATTTTTGTTCTCGGAGTACCATTTCATAAGTTTATCAACATTCACACATAGTGAATTTACTTGAAAATCTGTAATAAAACCATACGATTAAATAAAATATTAAATGTATAACGTACACTGCACATACCAAGTAAATTTTCATTAAAATCAAATAGAAAATCAATATAATAATTTGCATATAATTTTCCATTGAATACAAACATTATCCGGAGAGTATAACTTTTGTCATTGATGTTTAGGATTTCTTGTTGGAAATCAAATGCTTTATTATATGTGGAAACCAAAGATTTCACCACTTTTGAAAAATTTCTGTTTTCTGCAACAAAATTATTGTAATACAAATTGCAATTTATACAGGAATTAGTCTAATTACCATTCAGTAGTTCTTCAAGCTCAATTTCAAGTTCACTCTCAATCTTCTTAAGATTGTTAATTGTTGATTGCATAACATTAGTTTGATTGTTCAATTCCTTATTTGAAGCACACATATCAATTATGGAATCTTGCGATTGATGCTGAAGTAATACTCTATTGTCATCCAGCTTTGCATCATCTGAGATCAAATAATTAATGAATATTGGTATAAATAAACTTAAGCAGATTCATACTAATCTCAATGTATTCATCCATACTGCTTTTCAAATTGATTATTGACTGTCTGCATTTCAACTTGATATTATTCTTAGCTTCAATATGCTCAGCATTTGCCATGACTAATATTATAATCACAATTACACAACTTTATTAATATTAATGCATGTAAATTAATATTTCATTTAATTAAAGTATTAAAATTACAGCATTTGAGCACACGAAAAAATAACGATATTTATTTACTATTTGTGCATGGTTACCAATATACAAAAAATTATAGCATTGCTTAGTTGCATAAGAGTACTTAATAATTTGTAGTCATTGTGGGATATTATTCGAATTTACTTTTGATTAAATATATGTAATGTTAAGTCATTGTTTATTGATAAATTCCGAAGAAGAAATTATAAATTCTACTAATGTAAACACTAAAGATATAATTATCTATTAGAAATATTTGTTGATATGACGTAGTCTTTAGTCATCGCCTATAATTATTAATATGTTGTCCACCACAAACGAAAATAGTCAGTTTAAATCTGTTGTTCAAACTAAGATCAACTAAGATGTCTTTTTGTTCTGTTGGCAAGAAAAACATTTTAAATATTTGTAATATAACCTTAAAAAATGTTTATATACAAAGTAAGCGCAAATTATGTAATGGAAATACCTTAAATTTTACATTGAAAAGCAAGGTTAGTTAAAATCATGTTATTATCAATTACAGTAAGATAAAGAATTTTATTCTCTTCCAGATGGCACGAAAATTAGCAGCATTTGATTTTGATCACACTATTGTAGAAGGAAATTCTGATATTGTTGTAAGGGATTTAATTTCTAAGGAATCTATTCCTGATTCTGTCAGAAAACTATATAAAAATGATGGATGGACTGCTTACATGCAGGGAATATTTGAGCTTCTCCATTTGCAAGGTCACAAGGAATCTGTCATTGCAAAAGTTGTTGGAGAAATTCCTGCCACCAAAGGGATATCTGAGTTAATTCACAAGTTGAAAGAGGAGAACTATGATGTGATCATAATAAGTGATGCAAATTCCTTTTTAATCAATACATGGCTTGAACATAATAATTTGAAGGATTGTATTCATAAAGTATTCACTAATCCAGCTAAATTTGTGAATGGACTTTTGAAAATAGAGATGTACCATTTACAGCAAGATTGTAAATTGAGTACAAAGAATTTATGCAAAGGTAAAATATTAGAAGATTTTATTAAAGGCAGAGAGTTGGAGGGTGTTGCATATGAGAAGACAGTCTATGTGGGTGATGGAAATAATGACTTTTGTCCAATGCTGAGGCTAAATGATAAAGACTTGGCTTGTGTGCGAGATAAGTACAGTTGCCTTCAGTTGATAAATAAAGTGAAAGAGGGAAAACCAATTCCATCAACTGGTCTGATATACACAATGAAAGCTCACGTTTTAGTGTGGAATACTGGTTTCGATATCTTGGATCATCTATCGAATTAAAATATGATTTGGTTTATAAAAAAAAGTGCGATTATCCTGTGATGATAATATTTTAATTTATATTTTATAATTCAATTACAATAATTAAATACATTGGCACCTATATTAAGTAGCCATCATTTTATTGTATTATTAAAACGATGTTTATTTACAAAACAATAAGTATGCTCATTAACTTAAATAAATATAAACAGAAATTAAGAAACAAAACATGGTAAACATCTATGTATACAATCTATGCTTGTAAAATGTAATAAAACTTGTTTTATGGATACTACCATTTATTTAATACTGTTGCACACATACAATATATAGTTTTTGTTTTTTTTTTTACTTTAAATGTTTAATTAAGTCTTATTCTTTGGCATACCCATGTATTTATATAGTTATGTTTTTTTTTTTCATTTTTCATACAATGTTTTATTTACATTCAAATGGATCACTGCTGGTTTTATGAGGGTTAGAGTTTTGATATTGATATACCAATAATAAGTATTGAAAATCGAACGATACAAATTCAAGATCTCAAAGAGGGAACACATTGAAACGAACACCACATAATCGATCTAAATATGTGCAACAACTTCTCTATAATTTTGAGCAATCATAAAAATTAGGATCGTATAATTAGGATACATTATTCATAATTCCTTTGTGGTGTATTACATGCATTCTGAATTTGTCAACACCAATAGTGCATAACATTTCAACACTTTATTTTGCGATTTATATACATCGTTAATATAGTGGAATAATAAATAAATAAATAAATTGTGCTAACGTTGTCAAAACTTATCTACATGCAAATTATTTAACTGTTCCGTTTCTTTTTTTTTTCTTGTTTGTTGCAGTAGATATAGAATATGTATGACAGTTTATATCATTTATATATGTTATAAATCATTGATCGTTAAACGTACCAATAAAATGCAGAATGTGGAATCTGCATAATACCATTTTATAAAGAGACACAATAACGAATAGATCATTTTAGAAATTAAGACAAACAATATTGTTTTGTATAATACATAAAATATTTTTAAAGTATGTGGTTCATATACCAATGTTTAATTTTAACAGAATGTTAAAAAATAACAACTAACATATTTAATAATCATTTGTTGAGATTCATTTAGTTTGACTCATAGTTAGAGACATGAACGGTTAAGATAATGCAATGGAATATTAATGGATTAGATTATCGAAAGTGAAATATTTCCTTTTAAAGATTTTTTTTTTAAAGAAATGCATGTATTTAATAATTAATGACATATATTTGGCTAATGGTTATCTGACGATAAATTGAGTAAAAATTGTTTTTAATCTTAGTGTATAATAAGTCACATTTATATTATGTATTATTATATAGCTTGAAACATTCATTATTTAGAATATATGTAGGTATTTTCCTCACATGCATTTCAATAATATTCCATTACATGTGATAAATGAAAATCGATTACTATATAAACTAATTCTTCACTCCATGTTATATGTGAAAACTACTGTATATGAGAATTCAGGTTGATATGAAATTTGATAAAAAGCTAGCATACAGTATGAATGACATTTTTTGTCATTGGTCACAGTATGTCTGTTTCGTAGACTTTGTTTGTAGTGTTACTGCTGTTTGAGCTGGTACTAGTATCTTCAATTGTTGTCGAGTTGTTGTTCTGGTTGGTTACGTTTGTTAGAGTGTTCTTGTTCGGTGTATGACCAGTTGTATTTGGTAAATTCGTTAAGGACCCTGTGATTTGGGACGTGGAGAGCTGCAATCCCATTTTTTGTAGTATGTTCGACTCGCTACCGGTCTTCTTAAGTAATTGGTCAGGTGTCGGTGGAATGACCGTCAAAGTATTAGTTCCTCGTTGTAACTGTTGCAGACGTATGTATTGTTCCTGTAAGGCCTTCTGTTTCTTGAGCAACTCCTGATGACGCTGCTCCAATTCCTCTTTTCTTTTCTTGGTGCCGTCTTGCGAGTTCACGCTTTCGCAACTGCTGCTGTTGCTTGCAGAAATCATGTTATCTCCTTCCGGTTGTGCTACCTGGAGGTTTGACCCTAAATTTCTCGGTAACGTTTGAGCTCTGTCTTTCAAGCTTGAGCGGTTTTGGAGGTTTCGTCTTAGTGTGCCGAAACCTAGATTGGCAGTAGCAGCTTCGAACTGGGACTGAGGCTTGGTGTCAACCATGTTCTGAACGTTCTGGATGTGCTGCAGGTTGGTGGCAGGAGATCTAGGCGGTAGGCTAGGTGAAGTTGGCGAAGCTAGTGGTGACTTTGAGCTAGTTCTCGGCGGTGGCGGAGGTGGAATTCGTTTCGTTGATATATGTTGAAGTAGTTCGGCATTTCTTTCTGGTATCGGCGGTTTGCCCGATGGTTTACTAGAATCTAATCGTTGTATGGGTTGAATTGGTGGACTGTTGTCGGTGTCCGAACCGCTCGGATACGAATGCAGCCTTCGGAGGCTTCCAGTGGCTGTAGATACTGTTAGATTTTGAGTGGGTAACAAAGTGGCCGAGTCCATGCTGCCTTTCCTACCGATCTCTTGCATTGATGGGGGATGATTAAAATGCGATGGAGGTATGCCTTTGACGGGCAATGAGGGTGGTTCCGATTCGGTATAAGAGACTTGCGGTGTTTGAGTGTTAACTGTGTGTGGTTTGGAAAATGTCTGGAGTTCGTCTAGCAGAGCGTCGAGTGCGTTCTCCGGACGTTGGTGACTGTCGGCGGTGTTGGGGGCGTCTCCCCCGATGCTGATCTGCCCCACACGTGGGCTGGCAGTGGGCTGTTCAAATAATTAAAAACCCAATTAACTTTTGGAATTGAATGCGAGCGAAACGAGTAAACGTCTATCAACTAAATGGTTAACACACTAATTACAAGAAAATCCATTAAACATCTTGTAATCAGTTAATCCATTTAGAATCAAAAAAAAGATATAAATCAATTTTACAGAACAACGTCTACATAAAATCGCATCACCAACGTAAGACATAATTAAATCAAAACCATTACCTTTCGAAACTTAATAACAATGTGCAAAAATAAATTGACATCAACTATTGTTTAGGGTGTCAGTCTGAAACAATTAACTAAATAAAATCAAATATATTAAAAAAAAATCATGCATTAATATAATTATAAAATAAAAATAAAACAATATTTAAAAAAACCAACAAACAATTGTTAAATTGAAAGTAACACGTGCATGTTAATAAACCAGAATACGAAACGTAAAACGAATATTTTGATAATGTTACATACATTTTTTTCTTCATGCCTATTTTTTTTGTTTGTAATGCAGCATGCGTGGTACAGAAAACAAAACAGTAGCGTACATTTAGTACATATAATATTAACCACAGTGAGTTATCATTATTGTGCATGCAAAAACACATATTCTTTACAAAAACAGAACCAAAAAGATAAAAAATAATAATTCTTCCCTTATAGTAAGGTTAAAGTGATCGGCAAACCGAAAATTTATCATATAATTTAACTACTTTAAAACTTTTATAAATATTATAAGCAATTTAAGCTACTATATCATATATGTATATAAATACTATCAAAAAAATAATAATTTAAGCTCGACTATGAAATTCAAATATGCAAATCAGTTTCGTTATTGTTCAATGTTACTAAAGTAAAAGTAAAACTCAATAAAATAGAACCAAATTGTTAAGGCAAATGATTTTAGTCTACTCTAGTAAAACATAAATAATAAAATAATATAATCAACGTAAAGTGTGGAAAAACGAAACGAAACTATATAGAAATAATAATAAAAAATGAAATCAAGCTTAATCAAATTTCACTCTACAAAATAAAATTAAAATAGTTAAATGAGTATCAATATAAAAAAATAAATAATAATAAATAATTTTGGTTATCAAAAAATTATTTGAAGCATGGTGTTTTCGTGGATTATATACCCCGCGGAAACCTCTAGTTTCGCATGATTTTGGTTTCTGCAGTAAGAAAAAATGGTGCAAAATTGTGTGGTCGAAACATTTCCAATGACACCTTACTATAAGGAAGAGGTAGATAGATATTCTCATAAGCAAATATAATTTATTGGTCTATTCGAAACGAAAAAGATAAATTGAAAACCATAATAACATTAATAGTAAAGTAACTAATATTAACATTAAAACACTACAAAGCTTAAATATACAATCTATGAAATAATAAGAAATAAAAACATAATTAACAGTGATTTTATCAAACGGTGCTTACATTAGGGTTTCACTTAATCAAAAATTCGCCTGTTATTTTATGTTCGGATCAACCCATTGTTTTTTTTTTGTTTTGTTTGGTGTACATTTAAATTTTGAAGTGACAATGCATTCTTTGTCAGTACTCGAAAAGTTTCAAAATAAATTAAAGACCAATAAATTATACAATTGAACCGTATTCAAGCCAAATAATGAACGAGATTAAACAGTTCATAATCATAAACGTTCCGATTTAATATATATATAGATATAAATAATGCAAGCATTATGATTTATTTTACTCATGAGCGGTTATAGCTTCCTTGAAGTTTGAACTCCATTTCCAGCCGTACTACATGAAATAACAAAAAATGTTTCAAAGCTTTTGTGGGCACATGAAAAATAAATAACGACATGGGTGATAGTTATTTAGACGACATTTTATATTATGATGGATGAATATAGAACATGAAAACAACAGATGAAGATGCGATTGAATATGAGAAATGTTGTGTCGAGCGAATACATTTGTTCAGTGAACAAAACATATTTGCTGAAAATATAGTATACAAAAACCAATAATCAAGTTACCTTTCTTATAAATTCATTATATAAAATTTGGTGCATGACATTTTTTTTTGTATGTGTGGAGTCGTGTTTTGTAGGGTAATGATACACAAAATGCTAAATCTACAAATTATTGTGTAGTATAGTTTTTTTTTTTGGATGGTGAGAGGGTGTCAGATAACTGTAGATCCACCAATTTTTTTTTTCAATACAACATTCAAGTTGTGTAAAAAATTTGGTAGTTCGAGTCTCCAATAGCTAAGGTAACATTGGAAATGCGTTTCACAAAATATGTATTATTAATCACCTTACTTTCTGAATTCCTTTTGTTAATTAGGCATTCTTCTGAAAGAAAAATGCTAGAAAAAGTGAACCAATTTATGCTACCCTTCAAAACCAATGGATAGAATAAATTTCTTTTCGCCAGTGCATGCAGGTTTAAGCAACACAAGGATCAATAAATGTATGTATGTAAATACCTTGCTGTGTTGTGCATTTGTTGGGGTTGTGGGTGTAGGCTCAGTTGGAGAAAGACGGCCGTCGGTGGCTGTGGCCGAGCAAGGAAGTCTCTGCTCTTGAACGCTGGCCAATCTGCAAATTTAATAAGATTCATTGATCTTTAAAAATCTAAAATAATCGAAGGTAACCTCTTTAGTGTGACTAAAGTGCCTGTTAATTTCTTGCATCTTCGCAGTGCGCTTTCCAATCTTTCTGGTTCTTCTTTCAAGAATTTTTCTTCGCGTACAACTTTCTCCATTTCAGTGCTCAGGATAGTCTTCATGCTATCTTGCAATACAGGAAATCTACAAATAGATATTTGAGATAAATCAAAGCAAATCCTGTATGATTTACCTTAGTTTTAGATCGGCTACAGTTTTGGAACTCTTGCTCAAAACCAAAGCCATGTTTTCAACATCCGACATATTGACCCTAGTTTTTCTGTTGATCACATTTCCACGCAATTCCTCAACTGTTGACTCTAAATCGCTTAAGTCAGTTTCGAGTCGTATCATTTCCTGCTTATATAAATCCTCCTCTCGGCTCAATCTGACCCTTTCTTGATCCATTCCTACGCAAAACCCATTTAAAAATACACATAAAATATATATTACAATTAAAAATCACTCACCTGCTTGCCAAACTTGTTCACCTCCGACGATTAACATGGTTCTGATCTTAATAAACGTATCGCGGATAGTTTCCTTGATTGCGTGCGCCTGACCTTGAGACATCCGTCTTAAGCTTCTCATTTCCGACCTCAGATCTTTGGCTTTCTTCTGCAAGACGCGCAGCTGATTGTACATCTCTGGAGTCAATTGTAGATCTCTATAGATATGTCTTCCATCGTATTGACTGGGAGAAAGCGAAGCTGGTTTTGGTGGAGGTGCCGGTTTCAGACGATCTCGCTCTGTTAAATTGATATTAACAATCATTGTGCAAACAGCGAATCGTTTTATTTATTTTTTTAAATTAATAAACGATCAATTTCAAAACACATAGAATGTAGGAGGAATAAAAAGAACGGAAAAATCTTACCCTGCGAGGAGGTCCGAGGCAGTGTAGAGGACTTAATGGCAGGCTTTGTGGGTTTAGTATCCGCTACAGAAAGCAGCAACCATGGAATAAACATTGTTAGTTCTAAAATGTTCGATAGGTCCCCCATACTTACGCATGCATGTTTTCGATACATTTTGAGATTTATACATTGGAAATATTCTGAATAAACAATACAACCAAAAATCCAAAAAAAATAATAATAATACAGGTAACATGCATATTAAAATTAAATAAAACTAAACTTAAAACCTAAACGGAAACTAAATAATTATAAAATTAATACGAAGCAAATGATTGTTATTATATTCAAATTAAAATTTTGATGAAACAAGTAGATACAATAACATTTGTAATATATGTGTTTATGCAAGAAAATTGAAAATCATTTGCTTCATTTTCTAGGATAACAAAATAAATTCATGCGGATTTTTTAAATTTTATTTTCTACATAAGCTTCATAAACATAACAACAAAGGATTTTCATAAGAATTACACAACTATAATTGGTAATTCAAGCATCTATTTATTAATAAAAAAAAATTTAGTATTCACTAAACCCGATCATATTTCGCTATTATTTTTGATTATCCAATTGATTTCACTATTTTACATTTATTTATTATACTTAAAAATTACCAACAATAGACTTTTAATAATAATTTCAAAATAATTATTCAAATATGTTAATGCTACCTACATTTGTTATTTGTTGACGTTCTATAAACTATATTTCTCTCATGAAAAATAAAACGGAAAATGCATGCAAGTACGATCAGTGAATAGGTTTACCTGCGTGTTGTGGGCTGTGTTGTTTGGGAGAGCTCATATCTGGTGGTTCATCGCTGAATGACACTGATTTCTCGAAGGAAACCGACTTATCTAAAACAGTAAAGAACTGAATTAAGAAAGACCACGAGAATACACAGAGCCGAGGATTCCAGAAATCATTAGTACCTATGACGAGATATTTATGTATCTGTGCCCATGCATGTGATCTGTATGAATGAAATATGCTTGCATATTCTGTTACCTGAACGCTCAAATGAATGGTTCGTTCTTAGTAAATTTTATCGTAGATTTATATATATTTCTTTTAAACAAAATTGTTATATAATCGGAATGTTTATGTTAATATATACATGCATGCTCATTCCTAAGATAGTATTGATGATTTGGGGGGAAAACTTACGACAGCCGCTTTTACCCAATTTGGGCGTTTTTGTCTCAGATCTCACGATGGTGTCATCTGCCAACATATACAAAATTCGTGTAATAATTTTGGTACCACTGACGCAAACAAAAAAAATTTGCTAACGAATTTTGAAATAATAAATGGATTACCAAATGTGTTCAATGAAAACGAAATATCAACATTTCCGTGCCCAGTGCTGAATTTAAATAGTATTTGTGCGTAAAGTTAGTAAACGTTTCAAATGTAATTTAGAAAAAAATAAATAAAGATGCATGCAACATGTGTTTTTAGTTAAAAAATCTTCGTTGTTCCCGTGTTGTTAAAAAAGAAGCGAAAACGAAAAGCGTGTTAATTGGATACAAACCTGGCAGTGATTGTGAACTCGAGCTGGAGTTCTTATCATAATCGTCTCCTGAAGAAGAATCGTGTTGTTAGCACACACTATATACAAGCATGACAAAAGCTTCATTAACGCCAAAAAAAAAATCAAACAAATTATGTACACTTATCGTCTAAATAGTTAAAAAGAAGAAGATTAAGGAAAACCGTTGGAATAATATTTATCCACTCGATTTCGCCTAGTTCATTCGTGTGTGAGCGTGGCACACAGCAGAAGGAAAATAAGTCATCACTCGAGTACGTCTAAGAATAGAAAGCGTTATGGTGCAAATAACAATGAGAAGTAATAGCGTTTATGGAGACTGTTGTCGGGTGAGAAAGACAGAAGAAATGATGCTGAGGGTGCGTTTCGTAATGTCAATTAAGTTTTTCAAACTCACCCCTGTACGAGTCGCGTCCCGCCGGTACTTGAAGTGTTGCAGGAGTCTGCGTGAGTGCCTTTTGCACCAATCCTGTTAGATTCGCCAATTGCCTTTCCATATGCTCGACACGTATCCTTCAACAAAATCAATATTAATATCCAATTTAGTTTTTTACGGCCGCACATAAATATTATATAACGATAATTAAAATTCTCCAAAAGAAAAATTTAGAGTCTTTGTGGAATTCGTCTCCTAATAATAAATAGACCAATTAAGGTAACTAAACGAATATTAAAGGAATAAAAGGTAAAATTGAGTAGTTGCTTAGACAAATAAATATTATATAACGATAATTAAAATTCTCCAAAAGAAAAATTTACAGCCTTTGTGGAATTCGTCTCTTAATAATAAATAAACCAATTAAGGTAACTAAACGAATATTAAAGGTATAAAAGGTAAAATTGAGTAGTTGCTTGAGCAAATAAATATTATATAACGATAATTAAAGTTCTCCAATAGCAACATTTTCTTTAAGTATTGATCGAATGTCTTTGTGGAATTAAGACCAATTAAGGGAAATAAAGGAATATTAAAGAAATAAAAGGTAAAATTGATTAGTTAAGTGGATAATTTTAAAAGTCAATAACGAATATTCCTGGTGGCAGCTGGAAAAGTATAAGAATTCCGTGTTTTTGTAAGTAACGTGAGACATGGAACATTCTAAGCATTTTGTAAGTAAATACCTTGTTGCATCATACGGCGGTGCTGCTGGCGTAGAAAATTGAGTTCGTGGTGCAGGTCTAGGCCCTGTTGTTGGAATTTTACCCCCGTACAAAGAATATTGGTCGTCCAAGAGTTCAGTATCGCTGGAATTATTTAATCACATTTGAAAAAAAAAACTTTAGCTTAAATTGAACAATAATATTCATATTTCGATGGAAATTAATATACATTACATTATTTATTTATAGCATTATATCATCAATTAATTGTTATTAATTAATAAATAAGTATGATTATAAATTTATTGAATATTTAGTTGATATTAGTATATTTGTTTAGTGTCTAATATTACTGTTTTCTTAGATTTGAAGTTATTATTAAAAAAATCTTCTTTGACAAGATATACATTTTGTTCTATTAGTTTTGACTCAAACATTTATAAAATTTGTTAGTTTCAAAGATAAAATCGGTCCTTGAAGTTTGTATTGCCTAGGCAACAGATATATTATAATTTAATATCATTGAAGTTTAATTCAAAGTACTTTTAAGAAACATACCTGATTTCTTCATCAATGACAGGTGTAATAGATCCTGAACGTGTTCCATATTGGCTGTAATAAGGATCTTCGTAGCGAGATCCTCTTTCAGGTGATGACATGTATCCATCTAATGCACAAATCAGACAAATAAAACTGAGTTCCAAGTCGAATGATCTCGACATTTAGTGTATACGTAAGTAAAGAGAGTAACTTGTAATACAAATAGTGTCAATAAATAGTTTGTGCCAAAGAATAAAAAAAAGTAACAAAAAGTGAAACAAACGTGAATGGAATGGTTCACCAAATTAAGATTTTCATAGGTATGCGTTCACGACCACGTCACAACTACAAACTATCAAAAATAAATCAGCCAATTACAAATAAAATAAATCAAAATCAAACATAATATGTACACAAACACACATATTTAAAAGAAAAATTAAAAATGGATTTGAAAATTTTGTCTTTCGGAAGCCTTTTCGAATCGCGATATTGATGATTTGTCTGTTTATAAGTGTTAACAGCTTTTTGTGTTTTTCTATTTCTTTGGGATTTAACCGACCTGGTATATTAAATAAGGAGTTGTTGGGCCTTTGGAATTGGGCAAATCTGTCCGGGGCTCGAGCCCCGTCAATCGACCTAGTCGAACCACTAGAATATGCACGCTGCGGTTTTGGGGGTGCACCTTACAAAATTAAAGAACCGTAACCATTTAGTAAGAAAATAAGCAAGTGAATTATAGAACTAAAATAGGAAAAATTCAATTAGTTAATCAGTCTACTACACGCTTTAAACCAAAATTAATAATTTTACTAATTAACAATTTAGGTTTGAGCGTATTTAACGCGAATTTAATATAATAATTCATCGTTTTATATAGAAATCTAGATTACATACAGACTAATCAGTATAGTTTCTAATATTTAGAAGAGTAGAAAATTAATTAGTACAGCGCTTTATTAGTAAGCAGGATATGTGAAATTACTTTTCAAATATTTCGGAATAGCGAAACCGGGGCTCCAATCAATTCATTCGATGCAATTATAAAACCCGTTTTATGCAAAATTCCCGGTCCTGCAATTGAAAATTAATACGTTCGCAATTTAAACATGTTTGCAACATTAATTAATATTAACTTTACACGTTCCGAACTAATCACTATATATTAATCTACATTTTACGTACAATTAAATACACTAAATAAAACTAGAAATCACGTTTATTTGTAATCTACAATTCGATGAAAAGTAAATTCAGTTATAAAATTCGTGTTTAATTGGGAGTTGTACATTTTGGTTAATTTAATTGTTACAAAATAATAGAAAGGAATGGAATATAAGAGAAAGAAGAAAAAAGCGTTTATTCATGCAAATATATGTTAGCACATCTAAATAATAATTTGTAACATGCGAGTGTTAATATTTATTTGAATAATATTACCAGATGGTAACGATTTCATGCGATCTTGTGGGACGTTTCCCACTGCAGGAGAATAAGCTCGAAGTAATCCTGCGCGTGGTAGACTCGACGTTGATCCAATGTAGTACGGAGCATTTTTACTTGCACTACCCTATAATATAAAATACAACTTATTAGTTTAGATATTTCAAATGGAAATATAAATATAAGTTAAATAATGCAAGTACATTAACCCTTTGCGTATATTTTGGTAACTCAAGAGGTGCCATGTATATATTTACTCTATATACAATATGTCGGATATATCCGTCACTCGTCCACAAAGGGAAAGGTATAGAAATACATGTAATATTTTTCTTTGATAATTTATTATTATGGATGCTATTAAGAACGTGAGATGGTGTTGAAAGAACACAGCTAAATGCTGCAATTACAAAAGATTTGAGAGATTTCGAAGTAGTAATGAAAATGAATTATTGCAACAAGAGGAGAATAGAGTAAATGTTGAATAAATATTAAAAAAAAATAGCTATAGTAATTTCTAAATTCGTCGCCTTGAATATAGAGATTACTTCAAATAGATTATTTGTATTAGTTCATTTCCTATACAGGATAACTCTCTGGTTCGTATCTGATCATGACTAATTTGTAGTGTATACCATTTGTTGTTTATAATAACTTTTGCCATCTGTTTGTGAAGTTTGACCCAATTAATTTGTTTTGCGTTGTTGTAGTGTGTTTAAACTAGTACTTCGCTCAAAAAAAAGGTGACATGCATTTAATAGGTCTTTTCAGAATGCATGGAATGAAAACAGCATGTGGTCCAAAGGTGAGGAAAAAAAATCTAGGTGACCATTTGTAGACAGTCTACACATTTTTGGAATAAATTCTAAATAAATGTATTCAAAAAAAAAATGTAAATATTTTTGTATTCAAACGCAAGTCGACAGATGTTTGATGTGAAGAGAAATCTTCATAAATTGATTATAATTACAACTAGAGTAAAATTTGATATTTTTTTAATAAGAACGTTTAGTCAGTGAGGGAAAAAAATAATATGGTGAAAGTTTAGTGGTGAAAAGAAACGAATAGCAATAAATTTGTTTGAACAAATTTGTTGTTCTTGACTGCTATAAAATTGACTGTTAGTCCAATTGAAAACATTTAATTAACAATGTCGTACGTGTACTGAATAAGTATAAAAAAATATACTTGGCTTTCTTTAGTGTAGCTGTTGGTAATTAATGAAACAAAGATGTGCGGTTTGTTGCATTTGTGTTTCAATTGAAAAATAAACGCCATGTGGCGCGCGCGTGAATTATAACGGCATCACGATTCCTCCATCTGCGGAAGACGGACAGAAGAGTGATTTTAACTGTTGTTCACCATTCCTGCTCACACAGATACCTAGTTTTCCTTCTTGATCCAATGGAATCAAATCATTAAGCCCATTTTACCACTCAATTCGAGTCAATTTTAGTGCACTGGGTAATTCCAGGCTTTCTAACGCACCAAAGAACTTATTCTTTATTTTTAAATACGGTTTTCTCGAGCGAACAATGTTTTATTCAAACCGAAAAAAAAAAAGAAAAATCGGTTTTTATGTGGTACATCGGTTTCTTACCGAAGTGTGTTAAATGCTAATCCCGATTTCGTTGCACATTTTACAATGCGCACACTTTCATGCAGCTCGGTTTTAGTCCACGGTTACGCAATTCGCTTCCACTGACATAAATCACAATTAGTTTTCAATTAAGATGACTAGAGCAGGTCCTATGTGAAAGGTAACATTTTTTTTATTCACACGTTTATAACATCCGTTTATAATTTATTATCGTTTGCTTCATTGCGACAATATTTTGTTGTTGTTTCTTTTCCTACAGTTATTACTATAAACCTTTTTTCAATTTCTCTTTATGGCATATTAAGTTCATGCTCTGAATGTATTCGAGATTTCCACAATTCAATGAGTCTACGTTTCAGCTATGCTAAATTTTGCAACTTCTAGTAATTATATTGTTTACAAGTGATGATCATCAGGTAATTTAATGATTAAAGTTAAGCAACGAGTGATGCGAATAGGTGACAACTCATGACAAATAGTACGATTTTATGGCATACTCAAGATTTATTAGAAAATGTTAACTTAAATACTTTTAGTTAACCATATATGAAGAATAATACTATGAGTGATTAGTTGCTAACTCTAGATAAGTATAATGAGTGACATTGGTACAATAACTTCATAAAAATACAATATTTAGTATTAGTTATAAGGAATAACTAACAAATACTTTACTTCATCAAACAAAAGCTACTACAGTATCAAAATAATCCTTTTTTATAAAGTAAAAATATTAAATCCAGACCGTCTTTACAATTTCATGTTAACATACTTTATATATTTTACATTTTACATTTTTAATTTTAAATGTTATGAATGACAGAACAAAAAAGATTTTTTCAATTCAAATATGTGCTGAATCATCGTAATTAATATTTCTCGATGATCTTTCCAATTCAAATAAAAAAAAAATAGAAACCCTGTCATTATTGATATGGCAAGACAAGAGGAGACGCTTTTATTATGTTTTAGAAATTCTTTTCGGAAATGTGATTCGGATATGTCTGTAGGAACTAAATGGATGAAAGAAAGTAGGCATCAAAACTGTCTTCCATTCTTTAAAAGAAGGAGCAGAAGTAAATTGCCGGAGACATGTTCTGGTACTGCTGATGATCATTCCGAAGAGAAAGAATATACATCGTGAAGCGATATTAAAACTTGCCGGCATGTTAGTAATTTGCAATGAGTGCAGTGCGTTCGTGCAGTAGGAAAACACACGTGGATCAGGATTAAAACTACTTGATTTATTTATTTTGTGACAAGCTATTGTATTGTAAGTAATATTTTGCTTTCTTTTATTAATAAATCGTATTTTGATAAACAGGTATAAATTTCAATAAATTTATTGTTATTAAATTATATATTATTTGATTAATGAAAATATTAACAATTTTATTGAAATATTTGATAAATAATATTAATCATTAGAAATTTCACATATATTTAAAATTTGTAATTAATGGTTTAAATATGAATATTTAATGTATAATATTTTCTGAACATTGTTATTTTACACCATATAATCGAAAGGGAACTTTCTATTGATTTATCAAGAGAATGCAATTTTTATAAAAGCAATTACTGTCAAATCATTCAAGAATAAATTTACTTTTTAGTCAATATTTTAACATTCAAAACACCTTCAACATATTTATAAATAATTCATTCAAATACAAATATAAAAATTCAGTTTAAACGTTAAACTTAACATTCAAAATATAAATAAGTATTAACATTTTTATATTTCAAACAAATCTATGTTGTTTTTAACTGATTTACTTAAGTATGGTCAAAACATTTATAAACTTGTTAGCCAAAATACCAAAGTTTGAGATAAATTGAACAGAAAAATGTATTAGAATAATTTGAAATATAAATTGTATTTCAACTAAATATTAATAAATTTATTTTACCTTCATTTAATAGTGTATAAATTTGTTTTTTTAATCAGTTTTAGGGATTATGTATTAGTTTCTGAACTTTGTTAATATTTTTTTTATATAGCTTTTATTAATGTTTTGATGTTGCAAAATCAATGAAAGAGGGACGAAAACCACAAAATAAATATTACTACTCGCATTTCCATAACATTTCATATGTAAAAAATGTAAATAAATTTACTGATAATTCAGTTTCGTATCAAATGAAAGGTTATTCGAATGTTGAAATAAGTTCATTCAGTGCAATTATTTGTATTTTATTTGGTTGTATTTAGTTGGAAATAATCTAACATTCACTTACACATTTGCATGCGTCCCGGCAGTAATTAAACTACACCGGATATTCGCAAATTAGAAATTATAATTTCGGTCGAATAAATGTTCTTCATAATGATATATTCGCGTGATGAGATGCTAAGAACATCAAGTTTATTTAACCAAAATTCTAACAAGAATATTATGGTTACATAATATTAATAATTTAGATCTTGGACTCATCATAATTATAGTTTTTAAGAAATGTAATTAGTGCAGGTTGTGTAAGAGACAGAATCTCGTTAATTACACATTACCAGCAATATTTTCACTAAATGAAATCATTTTAATTCGCAACACTCGACATTTAACTTTCACTATTTTTTCATTATTTGTAGGAACCATCATCATCTTATAATAAAACTAACATTTTTTAGTGTACATAATACTCAATTAACTGTAGGAATTAATGAAGACTTTAGTTCAAAAGTTTTAAGTTTTGAAATACATTTTCTTTATATTATTAAAATAAACAATTTATTTTTGTTTCAGATTTTCCAAAATCATTATGTTCTTTTTGATGAATAGAAAATTATGTGTGTTTGTCTTCCAATTATTGATTTCTTTGCTGAGCGCAGAGATAAGTGTGAGAAAATATCACAATTACCATGCAAACAATTTAATGCCGGACACGACAATACACAAAGTGACTTTAACCCAGAATGGATACATACAGGTAATTCCGAAATAATATATTATTCTCTCTCTAACGCAAGATTAATGATCATTTGGCGTTCAAGAATTATTGCGGTTAGTAGACCTTACGCTCCGATATAACACTGTGTAACGGATGTTCGACTAATCCAGGAAATGCTTACAAATAGCTCTTTATACGCTGTAATTTTGTTTAATTAATTTAGATTGCTTTAACATCTTCAATAATTAATTATTTTATAAAGTCAATTTTTGGATAATAAATTTTATTAAATTTAAATATATATATTAAATCTAAATAAATTTATAAGACTCAAAGAAAATTTAGTAAAATTATGTAAATACGAATTATGACAAATCTAAGCCGATTTCTCGTCAAATATATATTATAATTAAATAATTAAAGTTATTTAAAATAATTAAAATGTTTTTACTTTTGTTACATTTATTAATTTCATAAATGACTAAAAGCTAAATAATTTGTATGTATCAAAGCAATGCATTTTGTTTAGTGATATAACTAACATTAAATGCTGATTCAATAATTTTAATAGAACTTTATCCAATTACTATAATATTGTATTATCATTTATGATCTTTATTTTCGAGATATAGATGTCAGTCAGTTTTATAACTCGTATAAAAGCGGAGCCAAGTCTTTCATCAAAACTTTAGCTATGATCCGGAAGGAAAAGTTGTGAGTTCATACTTTAGTTCAAAGCAAAATCATATTTGCTTTGTTCAAGTTCGTCGTGGAAAAAGGGTATTTCATCGTGAAGTTAATAAAAGTCATGTTTTATCTTGAAGTCCTCATTGTAAAATCAATAATGATTATAAGGAAAACATCGAAACAATTCCTTTCGCGAAACGCAGCGTTTTCTTAAACGAGAATACGTAATTATAATGAAAATTAAGCTATAAATTTAATTAATTTCCTCCTTGCATGAAAGCAGCTAGACATTATTTCGAAGCTGCGTACATTTAGAATTGCGTTACAGTAAATTTATTCATTATTATGTGCATGGAACAGCGAAAACAACAAAGTCGAATGAATGCTCCATTCGATTGCAAAATATCCTTATTTAAACGAAACGCACGAGAAAATCTATTATACCGTCCATTTCCAGTTCCTCAAGTATATGACCGAAGTCCCAGCAATAACGGATTTCACTTTTTGTATATGGATGAGGAGTTACAACCTAACGAATTCGCATCCCTTGCTTTCGTATTCAAGTAAGATTTAATGGGTTTTCTGTGCGTGTGAGTATATAGTTTTTTCTTCTTGCAGAAGATGAAGAGCAACGTTTCATAAGGGTATGGATATCAAAGGCGGGAAAAGAGATAAACATGGCGCTTTTGGAGCAGGAGATTTTCAAAGTTCCATTGAAAATACACGAGAACTATTGGCATCACATATGCACTTCGTGGAATTCGAAAAAGGCTGCCTGGAATTTATTCATAAATGGTAAATTAAGGGATTCCGGAGTGGCCATTAAGGTGAGTACGCAACTTAACGTTTGAATAACCTATTTGAATGTATCATTCAGTTCAAGGATTCGGTTATACCGCCTGGTGGTGATATAGTCGTGGGACAAGAATACACGGACTTCGATAAAGGTTTGGATGATGGAATCGAAGGCGACATTTTCGGTTTCAACATGGTTTTAGCCCCAACCACCGAACCGAAATCCCCAATTGATTTCGGTCATAGACGGCACATTTATATTCCGAGTAATCTGAAGCAGCCGCCGCCCCATGAAGAATCCAGTTTAACGCCAACGCACAGTTATTTAGTGGAGGAACCGCAAGAAATCGATCCCAACAACGACGTACCTGAAGTGCTGAGCTACTTCAAGACGATGACGAACAGAGACCCGAAAGGTCTGATGGATTTTGGCAGGACGATGCTGCAGAACTTCTACGGTATTATAGAACCTAACCAGAGGATTCGCAAGAATCCTTCCGAATTGCAGAAGACTAATTGGTTGAGGGGACGACCGATTAACATAAAGAGGTACAGCAACGATATCGAGGTGCAGCAGCAGAAGCCTCTGGGTCTTCTTTTAGTGGAATTGAGTTATAATAATTGTGCTTTGGGGAGAGGAGCTCCTATAAATGACGAAAAAGTGCTAGTGAGTTGGACTAAAACTCCGGTTAGGGTGTTTGGTGGTGCCATTCTGAAAACAGTGCAGCCATTCTGCAGAAGATTTTAAGTTCTTTTTATTTATTATTTTATTTTCCTAATTGATGATGTGTAGACTTAAAAAGAATACGTTTCTTTTAAATAGTTGATTCGTAACTAATTTATTACTTGTAAATAAACATAAACATTTGTTAAAACTTTCGTTGTAATAATTATTATGCATTACTATATACGCAGACAATGAAGTAAAATCAATGTGCAATTGAATAAGCTAACAGCATTGTAATGTTAATGAATCTTTGGAAAATGTATGGCTATAGCAAATCATAAATTACGCACGCTAACATAAATTTTCCGAATGGAGGCGATACGCTCTGAACATTATTTAAGTTCACATATATCAACATCGATACGTAACCCATCCATTAAAAATCCTAATGGTTTCAATGAAGCACGTCACATGTTTCACATTTGCTATAATTTATTCCTGATAGTTTCGACAATAGATTATTAAATCATTATTCGCTCGATTCTCAAGCCAAGTGTTAGAACATGTTAAGTAATGTGAATTGTTATGTAGATTTGATTTCCGAAATTTGGTTCTTGTCAAGAAGTTTTTGGATAAGTATTTTGTGGTGAGTATTTACATGAAATATAATTATAGTAGATATATGAGATGAGTCTAATATTTTTTTTTGTCGTGATACCATAAAATACGCTCCAGAAAATAAGCTCATTTACTTTTATAATAACCTTGCAAATTGAATCCAAGCACAGCAAAGTTTGATTAAAAGCAGTCTGTTGTGTATTTTTT